GTCCTGACGAAAAGTTGCAACTAAGGCTGTTCTCTCAGCATTCTTGCTGCGTGCTTTTGTCAAGTTCGTATCACAGGACGGCACACCAAGATTCAAGAGAGGCATAGGCTTTGCTGAAGGAGGCCCAGGAGGCAAATAGGGAACCAAAATTTGAATTCTGAGCAAGCTGCCTCCTGTATGCGCACAGCTGCCTGGGTTGTTGCATTGAAGAATTTTTCCTCTTGATACTAAAACTGCAACGTGGGCCCTCCTGGTTCACTTACGGCCGTCTGTCTCCTCTTTTCTCTGGTGTACCTTGAATCAGTAATTCTTACTCATAGTTCAAGACTCACAGAGGCACACACCACTTCCCATTGTCCCCAGACCCAAAGGTTTTGGGGAACGCCCCTTGCGTTCCCATCGTCTGGTGGATTCTGACGGAAGTGTGTTCTTCCATCGTCTTTTTCTCCATGTTTTGCACTGGCCACCATATACATATCACACACCTCTATGGAGACAATTCTGTGGAAGTGTCCATGGGGCCCAACAATGCTGTGTACGATGTCGCAGCTCAAACTGGGCACAGCCTGCATGCCCGCCCTTCCAGTCAGATAACAAATCACGATGCCAGGTTGCTGTATCCCGATGGAATGAAATGCACGTGGTTCCACACAGCATGCCCTGCGATCGCTGGTAGAGAAACAGCCACTCTCACAAAGATAACGGGAGGACCGGGGTCCCTGCGTGTGACACTTCTGCAGGCTTCTAAAGCAGGCAGGGCAGATCCGTGTGTAAAGAAGTCAGTACGTTTAATCTTTCAAGAAGGTGGTGTGTGCGAGAAGGCCCAGTGCCAGGAGGATTCTGGGAGCTATAAGTCCCATCCTGGCTCCGGGAGGTGCTCACTCAGGCGTATGTACACGTGAGTGTCCACACGGCTGTGCATGACGTGCGCACACGACTACTTCAGTACAGAGTTAACATCTCCGCTCAGGGAACTTGGGAGGGTCTCTGGGTCTTCGTTCAGGGACAGCGCTGTGCCACACATCAAGGTGGATGGTGCCACACGCTCTGCAGTGGGGACCGTCCTGGCTCATGCCCCACAGCTCTGAGGGGCTGTCCCCCACACCAGTGCTAGTGCGGGGCATGAACTATGTACACAAAACTGTGGTGTGTAAATGTCCTTGGATTTTATCACAGGCCTCACGTCCTCAGTCCACATCTTCTGCCCAGTTGTCACACACACACACACACACACACACACAAGAAGCCAACTGAGCGATCATGTTCTCTCTCGAGGCTGGACACTCGCCTTCTTCTGTAGCGGTTTTATCTTGGGATTCTGCTGACAGTGCTCACCCTGGGTGTTAGGCCGCCCAGTGCCCCCATTCTATCTGGGTCTTGAGTGTAGTACTTATCTGGGTTTTATCTTGTACTTAGAAAGGCCTTTCTCATTCTGTGATCCTAAGAAAAGGCAGGCCTTGGCTGCCCCTGGCACTCGGATGGCTTCATCTTTGTCCCCGTGTTCCTTCTTGTTGATTTAAGTGAAGGGGCTTGCGTAATTTCTTGGCATAGCACAGGAACTGTGGTCTCCCAGTCGGCGGGCAGGGCGCCCTGCATTCAGGAAGAAGCCAGGGAATAAAGGAGCGAGGCATTGTTAGGGTAGACTCTGGCCAGCTGCAGAGGCCACAGCACAGGCTTGGCTGCTGTGGGCATGAGGGGCGGTGCCACCATAGGGGGCCCCTGTGCTGTGAACATCACTCCCTTCTGACTGCCTTCCTGTGCGTGGCTGTGCACGCATCAGCGTGGCCACCCGCCCCCTTCCTTTCTGGTAGCAATGCTGAGGCTGTTCTCATCTCCTCTCCGATCTACGGAATGTTGTGGCATCTTCCGTTCCTCATGCGCTGTGCTGCTGCTCCTGCGCTCCTGCGTTAGCTGGGTTCCGGCAGCCCCTCTCCCATAAGGCCAGCAGAGAGCCATGCAGGGGCCCTGGGTGTCTAGGTACATGGAGGTGCTGGAGCTTGGAGCTCGGCAGGCAGGTGATGGCAACACCGGAATTACCACTGTTGCTCTGACAGCACCACAAACTTCCATCGCTCCAAGCCGCACACACATGTTCCCTGGTGGTTGGAGAACAGAGTTCAACCTGGGTCTCACACGTAAAAGCCAGTCTGAGCAGAGTGGCTCCTTGCTGAGGTTCCAGGGGAAAACTATTTCCCTGCCTCTCCCAGTTCTGGGAGGCCGCTGCTGGCCTTAGCTTGTGACTCCCCAATCTCCATCACAGAACTCATTGACTCCATCAAGGCAGTAGCACGCATTTCTAAGCGTCTCTCAAATTCTTCATACCTAATGCCATTGCAAGATGTACACACACACACACACACACACACACACACACACACACATGACCTATGGCTTTCTTTTTTTTTTAGTCATAGTATTTAAAACAAACAAACAAACAAACAAACAAACCAGGACCTTGCCATGTATCTCACAGTGGCCTTGCATTCTCAGTAATCCTCCTGCCTCAGCCTCCCAAGTGCTGAGATTCCAGCTGTATGTCCAGTTTGAGTAATTTTTTATTTATTTTAATGTTTTAATAGTAGATCTGTGTCTCTGGCAGCCTTGGGTTCATATACACAAAGGAATTCCTGAAGGCTTGCGACAATCCCTACTACTCAGAGGAGGAAGCCGAGGCAGGGGCCGGTTTTAACTGGAGGCGTGTTGGAAGAATACGCACGATGTCAGCCCAGAACAAGACAGAGATCCCTGGGATAGAAGGGAAATGAACGGATCCCGGCACTGGACAGACAGGGAGGCTGAAGGCCCGGATGGGACTGAGGGGCCTGCATGCTGCCGCCTACTTGGTGCCTCTGCACCGAGCTCCAGGCTGTCTGCTGAGCTTATGTCTTTCATAGGAGACCATGTTTGTTCTTTGTGGGTCTCTAACGGGCTCAGTTCCCGTGTGAGCCGCTGTGGGGGAAGCTTCTTGGAGAAGTCTGTTTCCTGGACCGCTGCCTCAGGGCCCCACATGGGAGCAGCAGGCTGTTTGCTGCAGGCAAACAATACTCCAGAGTCACAGAGGCGGCACGGGGGCAGGGAAGGTCAGCTGGTGTGGGGATTCTGTGGTAGGAAATGCACAGAGGCTGAACCTCAGAGAAAATGAGGCTGTGGCTGCAAAGACTTGGGGTGGGGTCGGGGGATGTCAGCCACCACAGCCAGGTTGTAAGACATAGGTATGTCTGGATAGCAGCCAGGATCTGAGTGTCACCAAGCCTGTGTGTGTGTGTGTGTGTGTGTGTGTGTGTGTGTTGTGTATTTGTGTGTGCATATGTGTATATGGTGTATATCTATGTATGCCTCTGGGTGTATGTGTATATATATATACACATATATATGTAGGTATTGCATATTTATGTATGTATGTGTGTCTGTGTCTGTCTATATGTATGTGTGTATATACACATATGATGTTTCAAGGTCACAGAACACTGCATTTAGAGAGTAAGTGTGGTATAGCCGGAGGGTGGGGGGCAGGTGTGCTCACACCCAGGCTGTCTCCCATACAGAGGGCGCAAGGTGAGGGCAGGATGGGCACAGCAGGACTAGAGCCTACAGCCCAGAGGTGTATATTTCCCTGTTAAGGGGCTGTGCAGCAAGCTCATTAATGGCATGGGGACATTTGGGGACCATGGAGCCCGGCAAGAAGCTGGGCCCTCGCTGCCAGGCTCTGGTCGTTGACACCAGGAGCAGACTCCCAGGAGACGAATGTGGTTGCTGGCTCCTGAGGACAAATGGGCCAGCAGGTGCTAACTAGAGGTCGGGTGCCGCACTGGTGAGAAAAGGAAGAGGAACTTGGACTGCACCTCAGCTAAAGGAAGCTGTCAGCACCTCCTTCCCTTCCTCCTTCCCAGTTCCCACGATGGCTCGAGAAGGAAAAGATGCTATCATGTCCCAGGGTCAGAATTCTGGGAAGAGCACTGTAAGCATCTTGAGAGCCCTGTGTTGTCCCAGTGTCCCAGGCCTCTGGGTGTTTGTGCCTGGGGCCCTGGGCACAGATCTCAGGCCTGTAGACTCTGTCGGCAGCCTCCACTCCTTCCCTCAAGCCATTTACAAAGGCTCACGGGACCAGGGTTCCACATTGCCTCGGGAGGCGTTCTCTTCAGCTTATACTTAACCTAGATTCCCGCAGCGGGAGGTCAGGGTTTTGAACACGTACGCGTAAAATCTCACCCTAATCCCATGGTTTCGTGTGGCCGGACGGATCATTCAGATGGCAACGTGCTTCGGTCCACAAACAGGGAAGCTGAACTCAGATCCCCAGTGTCCACATAGACATGAGCGTGCTGACACACATGTGTGGCACATCTGTAACCCAACCCAGGGCACAGGCCTGCAGAACCAGGTGGGGCCTCGGAGCTCACTGGTCAGCCAGGGTAGCCCGTGGGTGAGCTCTGAGTTCAGTGAGAGACCCGGTCCTGAGAAAGAAAAGAGACAAAAAGAAAGAGTGAACAGGCTAATAGAGAGCACCAAGTGCCGGCCACACGTATGCGTACGTGCACAGTACATATGCACCCACACCACACACACCTTACACACACACTGGAGCATAGTAACGACAGGAAGAGGTTATTTCTAAGCAGATGTGTCAGTAATAGCAAATGTCTATAACTAAACCCCGCATGGCCCTCACAGGCTGGGTAGGCGCCGAATCCACCACTCGGAGGAAACGTGAGCAGCCTCGGAAAGAGCAGTGTGGCACGCTGCGCCCATCGCCAGCGGGCAGGGAAAGCAGTCGGAGGGTGCCGGGCGCCTGTCGATTTCTGTGGAGTTCACACCGGAAAAACCACTTTGGGAGGTCAGGGAGGGAGCTTGGGCACGGACGTCTCCCAGTGTGGGAGCAGATCCCACGGGCTGGCGCGTGTCCTCGAGGAATGCACGCTTTGCACACGTGTGCCCCGCCTTAGGCAGGGGCCTCGCAGCAAAACGGCCAGTGTTCACCAGCCACACTGCTCTCTCCACAGATCGGCGAGCAGTGCGAGCTGAAAGCCATCGACAGAGAAAAGACAGTCGCAGCCCTCCCGCCCGGGGAGGCGTGTAAATGCAGCAAGGAGGACTTGGCCAGAGCCTTCCACGTAAGAACGTTGCGTCTGCACCCATTGCTTTTCTCTTCGTCGTGACAAAAACACCGCCCGAAAGCAGCCTGAAGACGGGTCTGCTCTGACTCACAGTTCCAGGTTCTGCCCATCACAGAAGGACATGGCGACAGGGGCGCGGTGCACCGGGTCACACTGCCTCTGCAGTCAGGAAGAGGGAGAGAGGAGCGCTGGGGCTCAGCTAGGCCCCTCCCCTACATCCGGGCGAGGGGGGGGGAGCAGTCCTCGGAAATGCCCTCATAGGTGCTTCCAGAACCTCGTTTATGGGGATTCTAAGTCCTGCTGTCGTAATAAGCCGTGCCCGGGATTGCCACTGTGAGGCGGTTTGCGGATCAGGAGACGGCACCGCAGAGCTGTCGGTGTGGAGCGTGCGACGGCAGTGCTGCTGTCCCTGGAGCCAGCCATCATGTCTTTAGCTCCTGTTACTTGGGATACCGGGCAGACATGGTAGCACATGTGTGTGCCTGTATGTATGTATTAGGTGTATGCATGCATCTATGTATGACAAGAGCGTGTGTGTGTCTGTGCATGGGTGTCGGGATGTGTGTGCATGTACATATGTAAACATGTGGGCATTGCAGTGCCTGTGCGTGTACATGTGGAGGGGTTTGCGTGCACACGTGCTGTAGGTGTGTGCTTGTACGTATGTACACATGTGCATGTATGTACACGTGTGTGTGCATGCTTATATATGTTACATGGGCATATGCATAAGTGTCTGCGTGGGCATGTGTGAACACAGATATGTACAAGTGTGAGTGGTACCTACATACCTTACTTCATCGCGCTTTGGGAAAACAAAAGCCCAGCAGGGAAAGGGCGCATGGTGCTATGAAAAGGCCTTAAGAATGACCTAGCTGTCCATCTCAGGTCCTGTTTCTTAGTGACAGAGGAGGAAATTTCTTTCTTGCCCATACATTTCCCCAGCTAGAAAATGAGCTCAGCCTTCCTTTCCACCCAGCTTTCCTCTCGCTCTCAGCTCTGTGCAGCTTTCTCGGTGAGTTCCTTGTAGCACAAAGCTCTCTGACATCATGTAGCCCAGGCTGCCTCAGATTAACTCTGTAGTTGAAGCTGTCCTCAAACTTCCTATCTTCCTGCCTTGGCCTACCAAGCCCCGGGATCACAGCTATGCCTCATCAGCCCAGGGTTTCTTGACGTTTGTAAGTGAATGTCTTACTAAGGACAGCTGCCAGTCTTTGCCAATGGCACCGTTCGGTATCTGTCTCTGGAATTGTGCCCATCTTGCCAGCCTGGGTTCTGTCCTCACTAAGCAGCAGCAGTAGCAGCTCCCACCTCCTTCTTGCTGGCCTCACAGCCCAGTTTACATCCAGCCTATATGATATGAACTGTACTGCCAGGGTGGGGGCTTGATGAAATCTTACGGCTTTTCTCTTGGGAATGTTTTGTCCCCCTTAGCTCTGCTCTCAAGATCCACACTTTGTTATAGCAACAGGATGATTCTCCTTTCTGAAGCTGAGTAGCCCTGTCACGGGCCTGTGTGACACAGCTTAGCCATTCACCTCATAGATACAGGCTGCCTCCTCCTCTTGACTGCTGAGACAGATGATGCTTACTTACAGTGTGGGGTGTAAGCACCTCCTTGTGTCCGCTTTCAATGCCTTTGGGCCTACATACCCATAGTGAAATGGCTGACTCACGTGGTAATTCTGTTTAATATTCTGAAATGCTGCTAGGTGGCAGCTAAACCTGTGTGTGTGTGTGTGTGTGTGTGTGTGTGTGTGTGTGTGTGTGTGTGTGAGAGAGAGACCTTGTGCTTTGAGGCAGGGTCTTTCCCAGGCCTGAGCTTCACTGGCTTCGTCTGGCTGGCCAGAGAGCCCCAGGGATCTTTCTGTGTCTCCCTGGTGCTGAAGTTGCCATCACACACAACCACACACAGCTTTCCCAAGTCTAGGGTTTGACCTAGGTCCTCGTGCATGCAAGGCAAGCATTGACTGACTCATCTCCCTAGCTGCCAAAGCTTTTTCTCTCTTCTTTTTGAAGAGGCCATGTTTCGGCCTTTCACTCTCCCCTCTCCAGCTCCATTTGCTGGTGCTGTGGCTCAAGGCCGTTGTCCCTGCCGCAGGTGTGTGTTGACCTGTGGGCTTACTGTGTCCCTTCTCTCCCTGTGCCTCCCGCTGCCACCTCTGAGGCAGGGATAAGCCCGTTTTCCTAGTCTCCCCCAAAAGAGGCCTGGCACCTGTGACTTGGCTCTTAGGGCTGTTGCTGGGCCTGCCGCCGTACTCATCCCACACTGGCGCTCTCCTTTCAGGTAGACCTGGACAGCGGCCTGTCGGAGTTCGCAGTGGCCCAGCGTAGGCTGGTCCACGGCTGGAATGAGTTTGTCACTGATAACACTGAGCCGGTGTGGAAGAAATACCTGGATCAGGTGAGGGGCAGGACAGACGTCTCTGCCTTCAGTAGGGGCACTGGCCAGGAAGGGTTCACTAGGGGCACTGGCCAGGAAGGGCGGGCCGAGCGCTCATTCTTTAAATATTGACCCTGGGTGTCCTCAGACAGGTCCCACCTGGGGTGTGGGGATGAATGAGTTTCAAGATAAACAGTTTTGTCCTTTCGGATGCCCGGTGCCTGTAGGAAGAACCCTGCATAGGTGACTACAGATACAGATAGCCATAACTCTTACTATCAATGCTAGGAACACTTACCCCATGCCAGGCACCACGCTGAATGCTAAGTAAATAAGTAGTGTTAATTTATTTTATCAACCCCCTAAAGGCATTTGCAAAGTGGGGAGGGCGTGGGAGGGTGGGGCAGAGGAGCGGGAAGGCTTTCCCCAGGGCACACAGCTGGAGGAAGCAAGGAGAGACACAGGGTGCCCTGGCAAATCGGCATTTCAGAAGGCCAAGGTAGAAAAAATTAAGCAGAAGTGTGCCTCAAGAGACTGTGAAAGTGAAGCTACTGTCAGGCTGGAGAGACAGCTCAGCGTTTTTGCCATACGAGCACCTAGGACCTGAGTTTGGCTCCCAGAAGCTACTTTTTCAAAGCTGAGTTTGGTGCTTTGTCCACGCACGCCCACGAGCACGCACTCACACACCTGTGTTTCTGAACTTCAAGTTGACCTGCTCATCTTGGGTGCAGGAGCCCAAAGTCACCCAGAAGAAGGTTTTGGTGCTGAGGTCATGCCGTCGCAGCCTGCCCCGGGGCACCCACCAATCTTGGCTGCTGAGCTCCATGCTGGCCTGGTGCTTATGGGCAGTCTACAAGTCAAATATGGCCACCATTAGAAAACAGGGAATGACCACGGCTGTCCCTTCTGGTCTAGAAGTCTGTACTTTGCCCCAGCCTAGTGCCAGTACCCAATCCCAGTGACCAGGCACAGATCTTTGACACCTGAAGCCACCAGGCCGTTTCTCACTCCAGGCCAGGCCACATTCTTCCTATTTATAGACTCCTGCTGCCCCCTGATTGGGTCTATGTGTAAAGCTTTCCTGATTGGCTGGCTCAAGAACCAATCACAGTTCAGGCAGCATCTCCCCCCACACACACACACACCTTGTACCCTTCACCCTGATCACCATTCAGTTCTCAGTATCCTGCATTGACGGTTTTTGCACCAAAACTGGTCCATAGGCACCAGGTAGCTCCAGCCAAATGCAGAAGGTTCCTGAAATTCTGTTGTTCAGGCATTGGAGGCTCCTGGAAGTTAGAGTCTAAGGATGGAGGCTCAAACCATGGAGGGCTGAGAAAGCTCTGTCCCACTGGCTTCTGCTAGGTGCCTACCCTGTCTTCCTTTCCTCTGGGGACCTCATCCAACATCTGCCCCGTCAAGTCCCTTGGAGCCTCTATTTGCACACTGAAGGCTTCCTGCAGCGCTGCTCAGGACCCACGTACATAGCCCTCGAAGCCTCTCTCAGTCTCCCTGTGTGCTAAAGACCTGCTCACACCTCTCCTCCCTCCATAAGTTCAAGGACACACCTATGGGAGAGGGGCTGGAGTGCGCATGTGCAAGCCCTGTGGGCCCACGTGTACAGAGCTTCTCTCTGTACACACTGTGCATATTCTCCCCTTCCTACGCTCACCCCCGGACTGCTATGAGGCAGCTTCGGGGGACCCTCCTATCTGCCTCCTTCTGTGACCAGTGGGCTGGCTGCTGAGTCTGACAGGGGGTATGAACAAGACCCACTCATCGTTTTGGGTAGCCAGTCTCCTTAAATGGCTTGTGAAGGTCTTTGGCACACAGTGGGGTCTAGAGGGTCTGGATCCTGTGACGTTGTTCTTGAGGAGAATACAGCCTTCTGGATGAAACTGTACTTTGAAGTAGGTCGTGGGCTTTGTTGGGTAGCAGGCCCCTTCTCCGTGCCAGCAGACCCCACCCCATGTGTCAGACCCAAGTTCCAGAGCTTGCAAGCATCCCACTGTGTGGTGGGGTTCCCTTCCCTTCCCATCATTCCTCTCTTCTCTGGCTCTGGCAAGGAGGATGAGAAACTGCTTGCTGGGTTGGGAGCCGTTCCTGGAGCACACAGCCACGTTTCTCCATTCCACCAATACCAAACGGCATTGTGGTCAGCCTGCGTCTGTGGGAAGCAGACACTTCTTTAGCCCTGGGCAGGATTCTCAAGAGCCAGGAGAAACTGGCACAGAGACTCATACATGTAATCCCAACACTCAAGAGGCTGAGGCAGAAGGATTGCTGGTGAGTTCTGGGTCAGCCTGTGCTACATAGTGAAATGCTGACCCAGAGAACTAGCCAGGCATGGTGTGGATGGCTGCGACCCCAGCACTTGAACGTGAACAGGACCAAGAATTCAAGCCCATCCTTGGCCATGTAGCAAGTTTGAGGAGACACTGGGCTGCAAGAAAAAGAAAGAGAGAGAGAGAGGAGAGAGGGAGGGAAGCACAGACAAATCATCACTCAAAACTAAAACGCCCCTGTGCCTCCCTGCATGGGAGAGTTGAGACATTTGCTGGGGCCAGCTCAGGGCTGCTGCTGAGCTGCCCCAGCCACCGGGTCCTCCCACGGAGAACATGTACCTGGTGGCCCCAGGGGTGAGAGTGGGATTCGGTCCCTTCACAAGTCACACCAACGCACACAGAAGCACTTCTCTCGAGTTGTGGGACCCAGGCAGTGGGTCATATTTGCTTTTGCGCCTTGGCCACCGGGAAGCTCAGAGGCAGAGGCATGCTTGTGGATCTTTTGATCCCCTTTCCTCTGCTCCCTGACCCTGGTTCTGTGTTTATAGTTCTTGAGCGGTCGTGACGTGAAATGTCGATGGACAGAGCAATAATGGGAAGTTCTCGGGAGAGAGATTTGGGACTTCAGACCCTACGTGACACATGTGACACGTGTGGGGACTAAAACCAGAGTCCCAGGGGTTATCACAGGGGCAAGATGATTGTGGTTCATAGGTTTGGGGGGTCTGTTGTGGCAAGAGAGGAGCTCTTGGTGACAGCAGCCAGCGTGGGCTTCCACCATGAGATCCTTGATGGGGTGTGGCTAGGTGAGCCAGAGAACTCAAAGTCAGGACCGGGTCTGGGTGAGGACAGTGTCAGGATTAGCCCAGAAGTCTGTCAGTGGTGGGCATCCCTGCAGAGGAGGAATGAGGGACCCCCTCCTCAAGCCCTCAGCCACGCTAGGCCCAACTGGAAGCCTGGCCTCTCGAGAAGGCCTGAGCTGCCCACCACCAGCCGGCCTTTGTGACACTAAGCTTCTGCTGTTGGTCTTTTCAGTTCAGCAGCCCCCTGATCCTGCTGCTGCTGGGCTCCGCCGTGGTGAGCGTCCTCACCAAAGAGTACGAAGATGCCATCAGCATCGCACTGGTGAGTGACTGGTGGCCTCTGCTCCCGGGCTGGGCTGCTCGGGGCTAGCCGTGTCTGCTGCACTTGTTTTTCAGAAAGTCGTTATGTCGGGTGTTATGTACAGGTACACGTGGGAACGCACGTGCACAGGGCTAGAGGTCTGCCTCAGCTGCCGGTTCTCAGAAACCATTCCTCTTGTTTTCTGAGACAGGGCCTCTCACTGGCCCAGAGCTCACTAGGCTGGCCAGTGAGTCCCAGGAATCCCCCTGTCTCTGCCTGCCCAGTGCTGGGGTTGCAGGCACGCACCGCTGCGCCTGGCCTTTTACTTGGGTTCTGGGGATGTAACTTAGCTCTTCATACCCACAAAGCAAGTTCTTTACCAATGGAGCTATCCCCCGCTGTGGCCGGCTATTGCACAAGAAGGGGGTAGGGAGTTTACTGTGAACAGAGCGAAAAAAGGACAGATTAAAACAAGCAAATCCGCCAGCATAGAGGGGTCTGCGTGGCAGAGGCGGCCCCAGGATGAAGGGGTCTGTTTGGGGGAGGCTGTTTTGACGTCTTCGCCCCTCTCCATGAGATCTGAGTGTCTGTTATGAGACGCAGTTACTCCCTACATGTTACTTTTCCCTCTGCTGCAACCAAATACCGAAAAGAAACATCCCAGGAAAGGTCCTATTTTTGGCTCCAGCTTGGAGAGGGGGGCAGTCCACCTGGTGGTGAAGGGTGGTGGTGGCTGCGGTGGCTGTGTGGTGAAGGCGCGGTTGTGGTGGCAGCATGGTGAAGGCATGGCTCTGGGAGCAGTGCTCAGCTGTGCCTGCAGAGAAGGCTGCTTGCTCACCTCAGGAAGCAGAGCCAGCATAGAAACCTCCACCCTCCCCCAGCCAACCCTGCCCTCCAGCTCTGCTCCCACCTCCCAAAGGCTTCACCGCCTTCCCAGAATGGCACCACTCTCCAGGACCAAGTGTTTAAGTGCATGAGCCTGTGAGAGGCATGACACCCTTACCCCTAACTCACCCCAGAGGTGTCCTCACCTTTAAAACGTTTCTCACCTTAGTGAGCGAGACATTAAAACTGCTGAGTTTAGTTAGGTGTAGTGGTGGACACCTTTAATATCAGCAGGGGCACGTGGGTCTCTGGGAGTTCAAGGTAAACCTGGTCTACAGAGCAAGTTCCAGGACAGCCAGGGCTACACAGAGAGACTGCTAAAACAAACAAACCAAACACAACAAAAACCAGTCTGGTGGTTTTAAAGAGAAGAATTCAGTGGGATTTTGCACATCCATTTGATCACCTCTTATCAGTTCAAAAACACTTTTCATTGCCCTAAGAGAAACCCTGTGCCAATGACAGTCATTTATGTTGCCCTGCTGGCCTCGACCCTCACACCTCTCTGGGTTTAATCACATCATCGTGTCATACTCGGCATTCAGCATTCCCTGCATCTCTCTGAACACGGGGGGTGGGAGGGTGAGGAGAGCCACACGTGCAGGGGTAGGAGAGGCCTGGAGCTAAAGGGTGAAAACGGCAGGCTGTCAAGGAACAGTCTGTGTCAAGCAGAATGCAATAAGGAAGGTATGTCTACAGGAAAATCTGGAAAGGCTCCCCAGTGTGGGAGGCCCTGGGGAGTAGGATTTGGTAATTTTTCTGCTATGAGCCGGGGGACACTTGGCGGCTTTCTAAGTTTCTGTACAGAGCAGCTGGTTTGCAAAGAGAACGGCAATGTGTTCTGTTTATTCTGTGCTGGTGGCTCCGGCGATGGAACACAGCACCTCATCCATGCAGGGCAAGAGCTTTGTTCCCAAGCTATTGTCCTGTCACTGACTGGGGGATCTTAAGCAGGGGCTCCTCTGAGGCCCCCACACACCCCTGAAGCCCTAGTTTTGCTGTTTGAGACCTAGTCCCAAAAAGTTGCTTTCTGCCTCCACCTCCTGAGTGGCTTGGATCACGAGCCTGCAGCACGGGGCTTGGAGTACAGTGTGCTTTCAGAATCCCCGTGCTCCAGCTGTGAGTAGTGTTCATGGCCTCCCTCCCGACACCCTGTCTTCCAGGCCGTGCTCATTGTGGTGACTGTCGGCTTCATCCAGGTGTGTGCACCCTGAGTCCCATTTGGGTGGGGTACCTGGGACATGACAGGAACTTGTCGGGGTTCCCACCTTTGAACAGCACATCTGATGTGCTTCCTGCCAGGAATACAGGTCGGAGAAGTCTCTGGAAGAGCTGACCAAGCTGGTGCCTCCAGAGTGCAACTGGTAAGTCAGGGCTTTTCGAGACAGTGGTCCTTGGAAGCAACCGATGGGTTTGACAAATGATGGGCCAGGGTTCGCTCCTTCGTGGTGTGACATGGGGAGAGCTGCCTCAGTCTCACTGTGGGTGAGGAGACCCGGTGTCTGCCCTGGTGGTGGCTTGCTGTGTGACCAAAGACAGGAGGTGTTCCATCTCTCTGGGCCTCTGCTCTGGCATTAGGATCTAACTTGACTTGGGGCTACAGATAGAGGGGAAGAGCCTGGAAAATGAAGCCAAAACCCGAGTTTTACCTGGAGGGAGGGACCAAGAAGTTAAACTGAGACAGTTACAGGACCAGCAGCAGAGAGCACAGTGTGGCTATGGCGTGGCTGTATGTGGCAAGGTGGCTTGCTGACTGTCCTAGTGCTCTGAAGACACTGTGACCGAGGCAGCCTATAAGGGAAGTTTATTTGGGGTTCACGGCTTCAGAGGGTGAGTTCATAATCGTCATAGCAGGGAGCATGGCATTGGGCAAGGAGGGCAGGCATGGCACTGGGGCAGTTAACTGAGAGTTTACATGTTGGGACAACAGCCATGTGGAAGACAGACAGACAGACAGAGCCAAGTGGGATGGCATGAGCTTTTAGAAACCCCCAGTGACACACTTCATCCAACCTGAACACACCTCCTGGCCTTTCCCAAACATATCCATAAACGGGGACCAAGCATTCACACAGGAGACTGTGGGGGCCATTCTTACCCAAACTCCCACTGGTTGGCTCAGCAGCTCTGGGCAGATGGCAGCCTCTTGCCAGGCGACATGTTACTCCTCGGCCATTTACTGTCCCCAGCATCTATTAGTGAGGTTTGAAAAGGAAAATAGTAAAAGCAACCATGTGTCCTCGACAGCTAGGTTGGGGCTTCAACCTAGCGCAACGTGCAGCAAGTTCTAGAAACTTCTAGAAGTGTGGGGTCATGAGCCACGGGTGCCTGGGAAGGACTTTAAATGCAGCTGAGTGAAAAGGTGGTCACCTTTGAACCTGATGCGCCGTCTCCCAGCTCTGGGGCCAGCTTTTCAGGGCACTGTATAGCATTCACAAGGTGCCTGCTGGAACTGAAGAGACTCAGAAAAGACTTGTCCTCACCCTGCCCACAGACCCGGCTGAGGCCCAGTTCCCCTCAGTACCTGTGCTTCTCAAAACGAGGACTAGAGGCCCATGGTGGCCTGAGATGCTGAGAGACTCAGATACTCAGCCCTAGGCCTGCTGAGAGGCCTCCCAAGGTGCCAACAGTCACAGGTGTGCGAGACAGACAGAGAGACAGGGAAGGACAAAGACAGAGAAGCACACATGCCAGACAGAGGAAGACGGGCACAGTGAGGATGGCGAGGGAGAGATGGAGCCATGGGTAGGGTGAACATCCCAGAAGCTGCAGGGAACCCTGAATACCTGGGCTCACTGGCTGGACAGTGAGGCTGTCACAAAGCCAGACAAGTGACATTATCACCCGAGCAGCCGGAAACGTGAATGATCGGTGATGACCACTTGACTTTAAGTTTAAACACCAAGCTTTGATCTTTCCATAACTGCGTGCATCACTAATATCCCCAGAGGCCCACTTCAGAGACAATTTTCTTTTCAAAGCAAGACACGGTGGAGTGCACAGCAATGAGGTCATCCCTGTGGGAGCAATGGGGAGACTGGGCCCCCGAGAGCTCAGAGACAGGATAGTGAGCTAAGAGACCGGAAAACTGGGAAGCAGCAGGTGCTCACCGCTTCCCAAAGCCTGCACCACATACACCAAACCAACCAACCCCCCAGGGGTGTCGCAGTGATGGGGGGAGGGACAAGGACAACTTTGAGATGACATTGAAGGAAGGAGCCATGGAGCAGCAGCGGTGTGCCAGGTGCTCTTGGCTACAGAGAATGGAAAACTTAATTGCAGAGGACACAAGGAAATGATATCGTGTCATAGCAAGGGATCGGAGTGGAGGTTGATTGACATGGCGCCAGGGGCTTGGGCTTGGACATCTTCAGGTTGTTGGCATTGCACTCTGACTGGCTTCCCTTGCGGTGCCAAGATGGCTGCCACAGCTCCAGACACCACAGTCACAAACATACAAAGGTCCCACTGAAGAGAGTTTGTGTGTACAAGGCAAGGAAGCCTTTCTCCCACGTTCCAGCATCATTTCCTGTCTCTTACGCCAGGGCTCTGTGTCGTGTTCATGTCTAAGCCTGTCACAGGCAAGGATGAAACCACTAGCTAAATAAACACATGGCTATGGATAAGGGAGGAGGCCTGAGCAAAATCAAATCCCCTGCTAGGAGGAAGGGGATTCCTCCCCTATCTTTTAAGGTCTATAAAGACCCTAAGACCACAAAAAGGGGATGTGCTTAAGGCCTGAGTGGAACCAGGAATAACAGGAAGGCAGATCAGGTGGCAGATTTTTGTGGTGGTTAAATCCAAGGATGTGAGGAGCTACCAGAGAGTCTGAGGCAGGAGGGAGCTTGCCCTAGCTCTCCCTAGCTGCTGGGATAGGGGAATTAGAAGAGGGGCATTTGCAGTAGGAACGTGCGCCCAGACAGCCAGAGGTGGCCATGCACTGAGGAGGGCCAGGGTCCCAGGCACTGGAGCTGACCCTGATGACATCCTTCCTCCCTAGCCTCTAGGCCAGGGTAGTATGTTCTCTCAGCACCAAAGAGTGTTTTCCTGGGTGCCATTTGGAGGCCATAGAACAGTTGGCCTCCACCTGCAGAAGCTTCTAGTCAGTAGCCAGACGCCTCCCCAAAGCACTGTGAGAGGCAGGAGTTTAGAAAACAGAGCTGTAAAAGTCTCGAGAGTTTGCCTGCAAAAAAAAAAAAAAAAAAAAATGCCGAGTTGATCTGTGAATCCAGTTCTCAGAGGTCATGAAACGGGGGTCACCATGCTGCCTCCTCTCCCACGCAGCCTGAGGGAGGGCAAGCTGCAGCACCTGCTCGCACGAGACCTGGTTCCAGGAGACATCGTCTTCCTGTCCACAGGAGACCGGATTCCTGCTGACATCCGTCTCACTGAGGTGAGCAGACCCCCCGAACTCACCATTCCCAAGAACAGAGGCCCCCCTGGCTGGGTGGCTTCCATTCCAGCTTGCTACCCACAGCCAACCGTGGTCCTGAAATGTTAGCAATTGTCTTCACTCTTGAGAGACAGGCAGAGGCACAGAGAGACCATTTACTATAATCTGTTCTTTTAGTTGAGCATCTTCCAGGCAGTTGGCTATGTGCGGTTTTGTGCATATGTGTGCAAGCTCATATGTGTGCATGTGAGTGTAGAGGCTTGGGTGTCATTTCTTGGGCACTGTGTGCCTTGGGTTTTGAGACAGAATCTCTCACTGGCCCAGAGCTCACCAAGTAGCCACAACTGGCTCAACAGCCCCACGGACCTACCTGTCTCTGCCTCCCTAGTTCCGTGTTCACTGCCACGCCCCAGCCACCACCCCCTCCTCTTTCTCGTCGTCCTTCTCTTCTTCTCCCCCTCCTCTTCATCGTTGTCTTCTCTCTTTTCTCCCTACGTGGCTCTGGGCTCCAGTCAGGTCCTTGTATTAGCAAGGCAAGCACTTTACCAACTAAGCTATCCCCTAGCCCTGGTTGTGTGGTTTACAGAGTAGATCATCATGGCAAAATCATCCAGGGCTGGGGGAAGGGGGTGGGCTATGGGCTGCTTCAACGCAATGAGGGAAACTGAGGCAGAGGACCATCAAGGGCAGCAGAGGTCTGGTTTGGCTACTCTGGTGTCTCCTCACACACCTTGAAGGTTCAGTTTACCGTCTAGCCGAACCGTACACGATACGATGCCACATTCTGGAGAAAGGCCTGGGTGACAGTAACACGAGTGAGGAACTCCTCAAGAGCAGGAGAGTTACCGCTTGGGCTCCTAGGGAGCAGGATGAATGGCAGGTAACTGAGGGATTTATTTACAGAGTTCTGGGGATGCTACACAGCCATCCCTTCAGGAAGCCCACTCTGCTGCCAAGTATTCTTGGGAGGCAAAGAGGCAGGGCCACGAGGGGCTGCAGGTGAGCCTGGTCTTGAACTCAGCACCTGAAATGCCAACAGTGTAACCTGGAGCTCTTCGTGCTTCAGTTTCTTTATGTGTAACATGGGAGGTGATAACAGCCCGGGCAGTTAGGATTAACTAGCTTCACAGATGCAGGGCTGTGTGGACACCAGCTGGCTCCTGTGTGTGAGGAGCAGGGGAACCATGGCCTGTAAGTCCTTGCCAGGGCGTCTCATTGCATAACGTGTTTGTCCTGACTGTACCGAGCTTCTGTGAGGACCAGACAATCCACAACCTGCAATGGCCCAGCCCGGGATGCTGGCGGACGATTTCCATTCATGCAGCCTTGAGCAGGCCACAGGCCTCTAGGTCCCTTTCGGCATCACCCCGTCTGCCGCCACTGGCTCCCGCAGCTCATATTCACTTCAGTAACGCCCTGTGCGTGTTGGTAGTGCAAAGGTGACACCATCACGCCCCACACATCTCCCTGTTGGCATTTTTGCAGCTCCCTGGGACAATCAATAGCTTTGTTTATTCACAGCAGAAAACCTTTATCAGTGATTAAGCTCCGAGACTGAGTTCCGGGAACAGGAGGCTCTCAAGCCTGCAGACGGGACCCACAATAGCCTGTGCATAGCTGCACGGGGTCACAAAGCCTTACGTTCTGTTCCTCTGGCTGGGAACAAAGGCGAGGCTTCTTGGCTGTCCTTCCTCCTGTGGAGTCTAGAGTGAAGACAATGGAACGGGGTTGTCAGAACTCCAAGTAAGCTTTATCAAGAGGCTCTAGAACTAGGGACAGGAATGTAAGGGGGTGGAGGGAATAGGAGCGTACACACACATGGCCTGGGGAAGGAGGGAGCCTTTCTGGCCCTCATCCTCCAGCACAGCCACCTTGGTCATGCTGGGCGGGGCTGTGGGAGTTAGGTCCCCAGTTCTATGTCAGGCCTCCTCATGTCTCTGCCCACTCAGCTCCTGTGTCACCCCTGAGATTGTGCCCTCCTTCCCACAACTACCCGCTTCTCATTCAGACACTCCGTCCGAGGCTCCGGGGAAGGGGCTGGTGTTTATCTATAATCATGTGCACACACAGTGTTGGCCCCACCAGACCCGGACCCCTAGTGATGTCACAGGCATCCTGCCTTTGTCCACACATCTGTGGTGTCAGCTGCAACTGAAGTTGCATGAAGACACGTTTGTCAGAGCCACTTCCCCAGCGTTAGCACAGGTGGCTGTGTTTGTCCTTAAGGAGCCTGTTGACACTGTGGGAGTCCTTCTCGTCATCTCCTGGTGGCCTACACGGCTGTACGGCCTCCTGAGGTGACACCAGGGTAGCTTTGTACCTGAGCTGTGAGGCTCCGATCTACTCTCCTTTCCCCACTCTTCTATCCTTCTATGTCACTTCTGCCTGTCATGCGCCAGCAGCAGCTGTAATATTCCCCAAGTTTCCCCTCCCCTAGAGAGCAGCAGCTTCCCAGTGATGGGAGGTGCCAGCCCCCTGTGTCTCTTACGGCTCCTTCCAACCCTTAGCCCCTCTCTGATCACCTATCCTCCCCAAGGATCTTGGGGTGCCGTTGCCCTTACTCTCTTGGGAGTCAGTATCACCTCCCCATTTCAGAGTGCCTGTCACAGCTCCCAAGTTCCCTCTGCTGACCTGGGTAACACATCCACATGTTCTGAAGGTGGGGATATGAGTGTTGAGCCTCCCAAGTTCTGGATGACAGACTGGCACTGCCAGGCCCAGCTCTTCTGTTTCTTGGCACTGTGGTGGTGCCAAGAATATGGCACAGAACAGCCCTGGCCCTGAACTTCTGGGTTTACAGCCCAGAGGAGCAGGCCTGAGGCTGAGGCTGCTCTTGGAGGTAGCTGATCAGTGGCTGTTTGGAGAGTATGCTAGAAAGTCCTGGAGCCCGGCCCCGCCTGTGGAGGGCAGGAAGGGCTTCCTGGAGACATGCACTTTGGGGAGGACCACAAAGGTTAAATGGACAGGAATTGGCTGTTATGAACAGAAAAGGCCCCCGTTACAAGCCCGGCCTAACCTCTGCCCAGAGGCACTGCTGTCTCCACGAAGGGGCCCCACCTGCTGCTGGCCCTGTTTCCCCACTATGTCCCTTCCCGTCCTGAGGTCTCAGCTCAGGTCTGTCCATCCTTCCTGCCCTGCATCTTTCCCTGCTAGCCATCTCACTAGGCCTGTTCCACCTCACGGTGGGAACTGAGGGGCAGCACTCAGATCCCTGGAGATGCTCCCTCGGTATCCAGATGGAGCCTTGGGTTACCATGCCCACGTGCTCTCTCAGTGGTGGCCACTGCTGGGCGGGAGGCAGGCCCAGGCGCTTGGGGAGGCAAAGAAGTGTTCCAAGGGACAGTTGAGCCCGTTTTCTGGTGATTCTGACATTGCAAATCACATTAGAGAGGGTGTGAGACTTGCATGTCTTCCTGGAGGGGCCCGGAGCGCCAAGCTTTTCTGATTCTGAATCTGGGTTTCCAAGGCTCCTTCTCTAACTGATCTCTCTCAGGGCTTTGGGTACTGTTCCAGTCCTCAAACCCTCTGAAGGGCAAGAGGCGATGGCAGGGCCTCCCCTTTGCTCCCTCGCCCCCCCAGGTCACAGACCTCCTGGTGGATGAATCCAGTTTCACGGGAGAAGTGGAGCCATGCAGCAAAACGGACAGCGCATTGCCAGGCGGAGGGGGCCTCAGCACCCTGAGCAACGTGGTCTTCATGGGCACACTGGTGCAGTGTGGCAAGGGTCAGGTGAGCAGAGCGCGGGGTCCTGCCAGTATAGCTCCGGGCTTGTGCTACCCCCCTCTCTCCTCCACACAGGGAGTTGTGATCGGAACCGGGGAGCGGTCTCAGTTCGGAGAAGTGTTCAAGATGATGCAGGCGGAAGAGGTGAGAGCAGCAGGGCTGCGGGTGGCCACAGTTTCCGTCAGGCTTGTCCTAAGCCAGAGTCAGGGCCTGCTCACCTACACGCAGTTGGGGGACATGGGAGTTAGCAGCGCGCTCTTCGCTTTTCATTTTGAAAACTTAGCACGTGTGCAGGTGAGCTAGCTCAACGGGTCAAGGGAACGTGCTGCCAAGCCTGATGACTCATGGGAAAGAGGGAACCAACCCCCCAAATCCTCAGAACTCCCACGTGTGTCCCTGCCAAAGAAACCAAAAGATAAGATTTACCATGTTTATTAAATATATGTGCACCTGTACCCCACGTAGGCATCACTCAGAACAGGCAAAAGGACCGTGGGGTCCTAACATCCCCCCTCCCACCCACAGACCCCGAAAACTCCACTACAGAAGAGCATGGACAAGCTGGGCAAGCAGCTGACGATCTTCTCTTTTGGCATCATCGGTGAGTGGAGTCATTTCCTGCTGGGTTCTGCAGACCTCGCAGGGCTGGTGAAACTTAGGGGCTCTAGGTTCGGCACTGCATATTACTGGGGAAACCGGGGTCCCTTCTTTGGGTTCCTGGTCTCATTAATAATTTTTTTTTTTGAGACAGGGTTTCTCTGTGTGGCCTTGGCTGTCCTAGAACTCCCTTTGTAAACCAGGCTGGCCTCGAACTCACAGACATCCTCCTGCCTCTGCCTCCAGCGTGCTGGAATTAAAGGTGTGCGTCACCACCACCCAGCAATAAAAGAATGTTTAAATGAGCTTGGAAGGAAGTTTGGAGATATTTTTTATTAGAGTTTGAGAGAAGATAATAGGGCATCTTTTGGGGAGAAGAATGTGGGGAAAGAGGAAGACAAAAATCCATGTCTTTCTAGAATGTTATGCAATGGACATCAACAGGCAGTCATTTGTAGAAAGAGAAAGGGTCAGGCAGGGATGGCTTCAGAGAGAGAACAAGAAAACCCAATGCACCAGAAAAAAAAAAAAATATGTTTTGGCTTTGGCTAATACCTGAAAGAAAAAAAATAGAAAGGAATAAAAAGGAAAAGTTACACTTTTCTGAGTTAGGACTCAGAAATGGAGCCAACTTCTCTGAGCTTCCTGGTGAGGCTCTGTGAAGGACGGCTACAAGGGCAGGTTTTAAAGTACATAAAAGTACATCCTGTCCTAAAGGGGATACTTACTCCTCCCACCCTTGGAAGACTTAGGGTGAATCAGCCTTCCTGGGGGCGGCCTCTAGTACCCCCAGACCCAGCTCATAAGGAAAGAGACAGCGGCCTGTGATGTTCCCAACTTTGGAACAGATCAGAATGCCCCGTCTCTACCAAGGGCCAAAGGTAGAGCCGTTAGGAAGGAGCCTACCCTCAGTGGCCTTCGCAGATTCCATAACTACACTGCTGGTAGAATGAGTCAGGTCAGGAAAGGCAGCTCCTGAGAGACCCAGGTTCTTGTATCCTGGAAGAAAGAACTGGACCAGAAGCTTGGGAATGGTTTGAGAAGCAGAACAACTTTATTCAGGAAGAGAAAGGCATTGTGGAGAATGGAGTGGGTGAGAGGGTAAAATCGGGGCCCAGACTCCAGCCCAGCGTCCCTTCCAGCGGTCATTTACACAGAGCCCTGCTCTGGGACATCTCCCACATGCTCTGTGTTGTTGCCTTCGGCCCCAAAAGGGAGGGTTTCCAGTTTTTCTAATTGCCCTAAGAGCTCTGGGATCTGCCTTTCTCTGTCCCACGGGGCTGGAATTAAAAGCACACACAGCCATGCCCAGCTCTTTACATGGGATGGGGCTGGCGGTTTGAACTTGGATCCTGATGCTTACAGAGCGTTGTCAGGAAGAGGGCAAGAGCAGGCTTGTCCAGAGAGGAAATTTGTTTGTTTGCTTTTCAAGACAGGGTTTCTCTGTGTAGCCTTGACTGTCCTAGACTCGCTTTGTAGACCAGGCTGGCCTCGAACTCACAGCTGGGATTAAAGGTGTGCTGCACCACCATGCCCAGCAAGATGAAATTTCTTTAAAAAAGAATTAAAAAAAGTGATGGAGGCCAGACTTAGTGGCAAAAACCTTTAATCCCAGCACTCTAGATGAGACAGACAGAACTCTGTGATTTTGAGGCCAGCCTCGGCTACACAGTGAGACTTTGTCTCAATAAACACATAATGTCAGGCCTGAGAGTTAGCTCAGTCCATGAAGTGCCTGCCTTGGACCTAAATTCAGTCCCCAAACTCATTTAAAAAGCCTGGCGTGGGCCATTGAGTTGGTTCAGTGAGTATCAGTTCCTGCCACCAATTGCAATGATGAGCCAAGTTCAATTTCTAGAACACAAGGTAAAAAGAGAGAATTGATTCCTGCAACTTGTCCTCCGACCCCCGTACGTACGTCATGGCATGTGAACCCAAACATACACAGACATATACATGAACACACAAAAACATTTGTCATTTAAAAGTTTTAAAGGAATGTTCAAAATAAAATCTGGATATAGTGATGTGTGGCTTTGGGAGGCTTGCCAGCCAGCCAGCCAAACCAAATCAGCAAGCCCTAAGTCTCCACGGGAGACCCATGTAAGAAAACGACGACAGCCTCACCAAGAACTATGGCCGCCCTCTGGCCACAACATGAACACCTGTGCTCACATAGGCACACACACACCGGCACCTGCACACACTCGATCACACGCATGCACGCACATGTTCAAGGTGGAAGTCTCGTGGGAGACCACCTTGTAGAAACATATTCCCTGCATTAAAGCAAAGCTTGATCCCACAGCGCGCCCACGGCAAGGCACGGCTCACTCAGGGAGTCCCTGATGAAGAGCCTTCCCAGCAGGTTAGGGGGTTCAGCTGAGTTCCCTGGGACTCCTGGGAGCCCCCCGGGGGCTGTGCAGATGGCAAAGGCGCTCCAGGGGATGACGGTATCTGCCAATTCCTCTTGGCATGGCCAACTTCAAGCTGTCTGTGGCAGGTCACTGAGGGTAGCTCAGAGGGCAGGTAAAGAGGGGGCCTTGGCTCCCCATTCGCCCCTCTCGTTTCTAACAGAGCCCTCTATTTCATTTCACCTTGATTCATCTGGATCTCAAGAAAGTTTTCAGTCGAGAGCGGAGTTCTCTGGCCAGTCATATCCTATAACTCCTACAAACACATACATACGCATGCGTGCACATGCGCACACCAGCAGAGGCCGTTCCCGGTGTTCTGTGCCCTGCGGAACAAAGCTGGCATCCCCTAATCACAGTCAACAAGCCCGTGCCCGAGTCCTTCTCACTGTTATTTATGTCAATTGCAAGGGCAGGAAGGTGCAGTCATGACCCCGTTTTACAGGTGTAGAAACTGAGGCCTAACCTTGCTACCCTCAGTCCTTTTCTCCATTGCTGGGACGTCCTATGAATTTGTTCACGGGTCTCAGTTGTGACTCAGGCCACTTCTTCCCCACACTGCCAGGGTGTTTAGTAAACATTTGAGATCCGATCAGGCAAAGGAGGAAGAGGAAATTTGATCAAGACCTAAGACATATTTTAAAAAAACAGTGACCCAGGGATTGGGGTGTGGCTCTGTGGTAGAGGGCTTGCTGGTGTGTGTGTGAGGCTCTGGGATCTCCAACACTGCAAAAAGAAAAACAACAACAACAAACAAGCCAAGAGAAAGCAACAGAGGTTTACCCAGCCCTTGAAGTAGCACAGAATATGAAGGAGAATATAAAGAACATTGCAGTGTGAACTGGTGATTGGCATCTTCAATGCTTGGTGGGAATCTTAGGGAGAGGGATAAAAGAAAACAGGATTTTTTTCCCCCAATAAGATGTGTCTTCTTTAACTAGGAAAGATGAGTGCTTGCAGGTTCTTTTTGTTTCTTTGTTTTTGTCCATTTGAAGCAAGGCCCATACTGCATTCAAACCCCCGGCTATCCTCCTGCCTCGGCCTCCAGAGTGCTGGGATTATAAACATAAGCCACCATGCCTACATATTCAGTTTAATTCCCTTCAAACTACTTCCGCCCCGCCCCCCACCCCTCAGTTCTGGAGATTAGACCTTCATGCATGCTAGGTCATTGTTAGTCTCCGGCCCTGCAGCAGCAAGCTCCTGAGGTCGCTCCTTATTTCCAGCACTTGGGTTCCCAGACGGCCCCTCAGGGAGCAGCTAAAGGCACGGAGAGGCACTGGGGACACAGGAGCCCAGACTGACGCTGTCCTGTCTCTTTCAGGTCTCCTGATGCTGGTTGGCTGGGTGCAAGGGAAACCCCTTCTCAGCATGTTCACCATTGGGGTCAGGTATGTTGTTGAGGCTCCGGGTCCCCTCCCTGCACGAGAGGCATGGATGGGGAGATACCCCTCGACCCCACCAAATAGGGTCTCCAGTGGCCTGTGGGTAGGGGCACTGTGCAGGGTGTGCACATCCTTCTCGCCCCTCTTTGCTGAGGGTTGGGGTCTATCCAGCTGAGGGCCACACAGCCACCTGCCTAATAAGATTATGCCTCCAACAACAGGCAGGGTGTGACCCTGTGCCTTAATCAGTTTCTAGGAAGTAAGGGAGAAACAGCTTGGCTCAGGGTTTCAGAGGGCTCTGCCCATGGTCACCTGGCTCCCCGGGTGAGCAGGGCGTGACAGTGGGAGGTGTCGAAGCAGGAAGCAGGGAGACTTGTGGGTGCTCCTGGCTCTCTCCTCTCCCCTTTCATTCCACCTGGGTACTGCTCACGTACATTCCCAGTCGATTCTCTCACACATGCCCAGGGGCACGCTTTAGTAATCTCCTGCTGATTCCTCCGTCCAACCAAGCGGACAGTGCAGAGACTCTAAGATGGGCGAGGGCACAGCCCAGGGATAAAGCATATGGCATGTACAAGGCCCTGGGTTCCATCCCTGCACCTCAAAAGATCAGCACAACACCTCACCTTGGCTTGATTACATCCGCAAAAACCCTGTTCTCAGATAGGGTCAGCCATACACCCGGGGTTAGGACCTGGATGAACCCATCAGTCTGCCCCTGCCTCTCTGCACCTCTGCCTCTAAAGACAGGACCTCATGTAGCCAAGGCTGGCTTTAAACTTCTTATCTAGCCAAGGATGGCCTTGCACTTCCAGTCCCTGGGTATGCACCTGGTTTATGCCCTGATGGGAATCGAGCCCAGGGCTTTGGGTGCCCAGGAGTGGGAGCCTGGATCTCCTGATACTGGGACGAGGAGCAAGGACTTACATGTGGTCCTAGCTAGCCCTTGCTCAGCTCCACGAGGCCACACATGCTCCATCTTACAAGTAGGGAAGTGATCCACAACTGCCCATGGCTACAGAATCCGGGAGTGCAGGGGAGACTGAGGCATCCCTCCCAGGCCACTAGGCGGCATGGGGCCCTTCGCTTGCTGAGGTTCTGTTCCTACCCTTGGCAGCTGGCAGCCGTCGGCCCACAAATATTGACTGAGCATTGATGGAGTGTCTGTTACGTCATCAGAGTACTGGCTGAGGAGCAGGCCTGGCCCTGTATAAGGTTTTCAGGCTGGAGGAGAAAGTGAATGTGAGCTCTTTAAGTGTGGCTTGACCGTGCAGTTACGGGGGCCAGAGAGATGGCTCCATGGTTTAAGAGCACTGGCTGCTCTTCCAAAGGACCTGGGTTCAATTCCCAGAAACCACTTAGCAGCTCACAACCATCTGAAGCTCCAATTCCTTGGGGGGGGGGGGTCTCACACCTTCACAGACATACGTGCAGGCAAACTACCGATGCAAAATTAAAAATCTTTAAAAACAAAGAGTGCAGCTAGAGCTTGGGGGGGGTGTTTTCTACGTGATACTGAAGCCCAGGGCTTGCCTGGTGTACACAAGGTAACCCCTACCACACACGCTGTACTTTCTCACATTTTAGAAACCACCACAAGTTCCCAGAGCCAAAAAAAAAAAAAAAAAAAAACATGTTTGAAGGCTAAAAACCCCAAAGCCCACCTTGATCCTTTCCCCACGTGGCTCATGGTACACCCAAACAAGAATTCCTTCCTTTCCCTGGAACACTCAAGAGACAAAGCCCTTCAACATGATAGATTAATCACCCCAAACCACTGAACTGGCAGGTAGAAATGGCAGAAAAGCCAATGAGGAGACGTTCCAAAGTAAATGAAAACAAAGAATTGTTCTTCTAAATACTTTACCTCAGGCCCTGGTGGCCGGAGTTATTAAGATGCTTCAAGGAACTTGCTCTTCCTGGTCTCTCCTGATATTTATTAGTCTGGGGTTGATTTTTTTTTTTAATTCCTATGAACATATTCAGGTGTGTGCACGCTACGCCCATCCTTGACATACGAGGCGTCCCCCTCATAATCTAGAGTAAATGTTTGCTTAGCCAATCTACCCAGCCGGGGCCATAAAACCAAGGAAGCTGGCTTTGCCGTCGCCATGGAAACGACTCCCCTCAACCCCCGCCAAATTCAGCAATCTTAGTTTATATAACTTGTCTCTGAATGGCCCATTGTCTCGGGTGAAAGGTCACTATTCAGATTCTGGGTTTTTTTGTTTTGTTTTGTGTTTTTAAAGACCAGAGTCTGGTGATGTAGCTCAGGCTGGCCTCATATTCTCGGAGATCCCCCTGAGCTCTGCGATTACAGGTGGGAGACACTGCTTGGCCAAAGGACTGCTTATATCAGGGTGACCAGAAAGCCTATACTACCACACACACAGACACACAGACACACACACACACATACACACACGCACACAGACAGAGCACTGCTGCTTTTTTTTTTTTACATTTATCTATTTGGGGGTAGTGGTAAGGACGTACATGTGATACGGTACATGTTTAAAGATCAGGCCACAGATTTCAGGAGGTGAGTTCTCTCCTCCCACCACGTGGGTCCCTGGGGTAGAACTCAGAGCCTCAGTGCTTGGTGACAAGTAGCTTTGCCACCTGAGCCATTTCACCAGCCTCTCTTTCTTTTCTCAGTGGGACACCAAATCTTGACAGCCTTCACTATTTAAGGCAGGGAGGTCCCCTGGGTATGAGGGGGCTGGGAGCCTCTGCCGATTTTGCTGACTCTTCACCAGCCTGAGCTGAGGGCTCACCCTGCACCAGGCCACTCAGGGTCCGGTCCTCACAGATATTCACAGGTTCACATCTATCCCTTTAGCATGTGTCAATTTGAACTCTGTGGTATTTAATTTTTTTTTTATGTTGTCATTACTAATGCTTAAGAGTTGGTCCTTGTAAGGCTGACGTGTGGCTCAGTTGGTACAGCACTTGCCTAGCAGGCAGGAGACTGGGATTGAAGTAAGATCAAGGTTGTCTTTGGCTACACAGTGAGTTCAAGACCAGCCTGAGCTACATGAGACCCTGGCTTGTAAAAAAAACAAATATAGCCGCTGTATCAAAAACGATGCCTGGTCTCCAATTTCTTGGGAAGGAGAGTTGGTCTAGCAGTACTCTTGTCCCAGACCTCCGGGTGACAGTTTGCTTCAGGCAGGCCTGGCCTGGAGGTCACATGCTCAGCATGGCTTGGACTAGCCCTTCTCTTAGCTAGTGTGAGGCTTCTCGGGTAACAGCGGTCCCTGTACTGCCACACCCCAAGTGGTCCCTTTCGAGACATTACTGCGGGTGGTTCCCTGCGAGGAGAAGACTTGACAGTCCACTGAGGTTAGTCTTTCACACTTGCACTTCCACTCTAGGGCTCAAGGAGTGGGGCTAGATGGTGGGTGTGGCCAGCTTCTCCTGGGATCTCAGCTTGGGGTTCACAGTGCTGGAGGGGGTGGTACGGAAGTGAGCACCCATCAGATCTGCTCTGTTGTGAAGTGTGCACGGGGCGGGGTGGGGGCGCCCTCTGCTTTGGTTCCTTTGGTATCCACAGGAAAAACAGCCAAACCATTAGCCAGTGACAACTGCCATTCAAAGCACCCAGAGAAGAGGCTGCGTGCCAAAACCTGCCACCCTCCCTCGCTCTCTGTCTCTGGAATCTCGGAGCCCCCCCCCCAGAAGCTACTTTTAATAAATGAGAACGGTTGAAATGCTGAAAGACTGAGCAGGCACCAATTCGCAGGAACGTGTGACTGCCTGGCTGCGGAGGTGGTTTACCAGGGAAGTGGTCAGGGCAGCAATAGTGAAGAAGGCAAGTGCGTTGTGGGATTAGAAATTGAATAGGATGTTCAGCAGAGGCAAAGCCGAGCTTCCCTGGATGATGGCGTCGTCACCAGCAGCAGGTGAGACTCACACCGCCCTTAGCATGTTAAGTCTGGTTCCACTTCTCTACCCAGCCTGGCAGTGGCGGCCATTCCAGAGGGGCTTCCCATCGTCGTCATGGTGACGCTGGTCCTGGGGGTGCTGCGGATGGCTAAGAAGCGGGTCATCGTGAAGAAGCTGCCCATTGTGGAGACTCTTGGTGAGGGCTCCCGCTCCGATGCTGAGTCGGGTGGAGGATTGGGGTTGGCTTGCCTGAAGCCCAGGCTTGGTGACAACCTGTCTCTCTAATCCCATCCCCATCCTTCCAGGCTGCTGTACTGTCATCTGCTCTGACAAGACGGGCACTCTGACGGCCAATGAAATGACAGCGACCCAGCTCTTCACATCCGATGGGTTCCGAGCTGAGGTGAGCCTAAAGCTATCTCACAGGGCAGGAGACGTAGGTGTGCCTTGCGAGTCCATCCACCCAGGGGAATTACAGAGTCCTCTAGAACATCAAGGAAGAAGTAATTACCTTGGAGGTCTGCCTAAGAAAGTATTATGACCCATTCTCATTGATTGATTGATTGATTTTTGAAACAGGGTTTCTCTATGTAGCACTGGCTGTCCTGGAACTCACTCTGTAGATCCAGGCCTTCAACTCAGAGACCCACCTGCCTCTGCCTGGGATTAAAGGTGTGTACCATCTCTGCCCGGCTCAGCTTTGATTTTTTTTTTTTTTATTATCAATTTTTTTTTTTTTTGTATTTTTGCAGCATGGAGCCCAGGGTCTCCTCCATGCTAGACAGGCACTAGCTACCAGCCCATGCGCCCTCATTTACACCCTGCCCCGATTTTGTGGTGCTGGGGATTGACTGGCATTCTGGGTAAACATTCCACCACTGAGCTGTATTCCAGCTCGCTCTTCCCTTTCCTTTGGCAACAAGGTCTTACTCTGTAGCCAGGCTGACTTTGAACTTGAGATCTGCCTCCCTTGGCTTCTTCCAGTAGCTAGGATTACAGGCCTGGCTGCTTTGGGGCTTTTGAAACAAGAATCTCACCACCTAGGCTGGGCTGGAATTCACTATATAGCCCAAGATTTACTGTGTAATAAAGCCTCTTGTCTCAGCTTCCCACATGCTGTCATTTCTAGGCGGGAATCATCACGCCCAGCTCTTTACCAAATTTAAAAGCCACAGAAGTGCCTGTCACCACCCATGGCAAAGCCACCCTGAGTCACTGTGCTTCTCTGTCCCCCGTGGGACAGCTGTACCCTCCCTTCACCAGCAATTTAGAACTTTCCAGAGCAAAGGATCAGCAAGTGGAGACTCACAGGCCATGGCCTGCACTTGTCAATAGCGTTAACTTCTTTTTAAAGATTTCTTTGGGGCTGGAGAGATGACTCAGCAGTTAAGTGCTCTTCCAGAGGTCCTGAGTTCAATTCCCAGCAAGCATATGGTAGCTTCCAACCATCTATAATGTGATCTGCTGCCCTCTTTTAACATTCTGGTATACGTGCAGATAGAATAGAACACTCATATACATGAAATGAATAAATCTTTTCTTTTTTAAAAAAGATTATGTGTATGTCTAATATGCCTGCGTGCCAGTGTATGCACATAAATGCAGTGCCCGTGGTGGCCAGAAGAGGGCGTCGGATCCCTGAACCTGGTGTTGCAGGTAGTTTGAGGCCATCTAGTGGTGACGCTGGGAACTGAACTTGTCCCTTATGAGACCAGTAGGCACCTCCGGCCCTCAATAACTTTGGTTGCACCGTCATGCCCATCTGTAAACATTCCATGGCTGGTTGCCTTTCAGCCCCAGGCCGCACCATCTTGACTGATAGAGGTTTACGAGCTACAGAGGCCTTGACATTTCCTCCTGGCTGAGTGTACGCTCTCTCCCAAGCCCTCTCTGTTTGCACCTTAGCTTGTGCGGCCACAGCCTCCACCCAGGAGGCAGTTTGTCATAGAGCGGGTGGCCTCTACTGTCGGGGAGAGGGCCTGAGCAGCCTGCAGTCTGCAGGGTCATCCTCGTGGGTGGGCTCATGGCTTGAGGGTGGACCCTAGGAGAGTGGCCATGCATGGTTTGGGGGTTGGGCTCTTGATGACAGCCTCTCTCTGCCATGTTCTACCAGGTCAGTGGAGTCGGGTACAGTGGCGAAGGGACTGTGTGCCTCCTCCCCTCCAAGGAAGTAATCAAGGGGTTCAGCAATGTGTCGGTGGGGAAGCTGGTGGAGGTGAGTATTGGTTCACCAGGGAGGGGTGTGCCACGTGCCGGAAGTGAAGGAGGTGACTGATCTACCTCAGGGCTTAGCTGCAGACCTCACCCCCGCTGGAGGAGGGGGGAGGGGAAAGGAAGGCTGGCGCCTGGCTGGGTTCCTTGGTGGGGAGCCTTTCCCCATCACTGTTGGCATTTTCGTGTCAGGCGTGGTCCTCCTCCACCTAAGCCATCTGCCCTCCCTGGGTGGCAGGCAGCCTCCAGGGAGTCAGAGCCTCTTCCCCCATAGTTCCTCCTTTGGTGGTCCCTGCTTGGCTGCCTTCCCTCCCCTCAGCCCCCCTAGATCTGGGGAAGCCACCGGAGGGCTGAGCTCAGCTCCAGTGTGGCAGGGAAGTGGCGATAGTTAGCCATGCTTTGTCAGTTTCTCTAAGCCAGTTGTGTCCTGCAGAGCACTTCCATAAGCCCTGTAGTTCAGTGACGCCTGCTCCTCCCCCCACCCCCCCCCACAGCCACCGCCCCTCTCCAGCCCCTGAGCACAGGGTCATCCCAAGCAGAGACCCACCGGTGGTCACTGCTACCCTCCCACCCCCTCAGACCCTAGTCCACCTGCACCAGGTGTTCCCCTACAACAGCTTCTGGACCCAACCTTCCTCCTAAGCCACGTCCCAGCCTGGTGGCATAGGCCTGATATCCCAGCTATTCAAGAAGCTAAAAGCAGAAGGACTGCAAGTTCAAGGCCAGCCTGGGCAACTTAGAGAGCCTTGAGTTCAATGCCTGAAGATGGGGTGGGGAGAACGGACACACCCCCGTGTGTGTCTGAGACCCTGACTTATTTGGGCCGGGTCCAGCTCCAAGGCCAGGCCCACCAGTGTCCAACCTTCTCACGGTGTGAGCGAGTCCAGGGCCCGGGCGCTGGTTCCCAGCACTGACCTCGGATATTGCAATCCCCGCTTCAGGCAGGCTGTGTCGCCAACAATGCTGTCATCAGAAAGAACACTGTAATGGGACAGCCCACAGAAGGAGCCCTGATGGCGCTGGCCATGAAGGTAAGAGGTCAGAAGAGGGCGTCCATGTCCTCTGTGGCTCTCCATTTGTTCCCTTGAGACAGAATCTCTCGCTGAACCTGGAGCCAGGCTAACAATCCTCAGAAATTTCCTGTTACTGCCCCACCCCCCATCCCCACCCCAGCACTGAGGTTAGAACACACATGACCACTGGCATGCCTAGAAGTTTTGGTTCCAGAGCTGGGAGAACCCCTGCCCGGAGACACAACAACATTCCACTGAGCTGGAAACTTTGGGCTTCTGATGTCCTTAAGCCAACAGGCTAAGAAAGGGATAACAGGGTTAGGAGGGGAGATTGACCCGGACTCCTAGGGGGAAATTGGATTGCTTTTCCACAACGGAGGCAAGAAAGATCATGTCTGGGGTGCAGGAGTTTCTTTGGGGCATCGCCTGATGCTGCCATGTCCCGTGATTAAGGTCAATGGGAAGCTACAACAGCCTAATCCAGGCAGGAAGGCAAAGGGCACAGACCCATCCAGAGACCCGCCCAGAATGAAAGTATGGGTCTTTCTTCCAGGGGAAGAGCCAAGACCTGCTGAGGCCTTTGCTGAGGGTGGAGGAAACGCAAGATGGGCAGTAGAGAAAGATAGTTCTGAACTCCAGCTAAGGTCACGTGAGCAGTTGCAGGCACGAGGATTATGATTGCCATGAATGTTCTGTGTCACGTTTTGTTAAGAATGTGTGTGTGCATATATACACATGTGTTAAGCAGGTATTTGTGGTTTCTCTTTCTTTTCCACGTCATTAAATTATCAGTTTGTTCCTCTAGAGAACCCTGACTAGTACACATGAATGCTGGGGATTTGAACTCAGGTCCTCCTGTTTGCACAGCAAGCCCTCTTACCTGCTGAGCCATCTCCCCAGCCCCAGACATCTGCCTAACCCTCTCGTACAACACTTTCACAATTACATTACTTAGTTTTCAGTATTGAGAATGGTACCCAGGGTATCGTGTCTGGCTGAGCCACACTCCATCACCACCCCCCTTTTTCACCTTTGCTGGTGGCATGGGTCAGCCTTGAACTCACAGCCCTGCCTCAGTATCTGAGTAGCTATGATTACAGGCACGTGCCATCACACCCTGCCCACTATACATCTCTGTGGTTTTGTGAACTTCTCCTGAGGTGACGCCAACAAATATCTATTCACTCCAGATAGGGCGCCCACAGAGAGAACCAATTCCACCTGAGCCCACCTGAGCCCAGCTTGCTGAGTGAATGAGCTTATTGCATTTGTTCAAAGTAGCATGACCCCAAACAGCCACATCCCTGCAAAGCCCACCCCAGCATGGGTGAAACATCTCCCGCAGAGATGAAGCCCGCCCTGTTCTGGTGTGTCCCCTGCAGGGGACCTTCTGCCTCTTACATACTCTAGCCTGTCCCCGCTACAGCTAGGGAGGGGTTGAGGTGACTGGACTCTGGATGAGGAGGCAAGGGTCTAAGGCCCACCCTACTCCTTCTGAGGCCTCATCTCGAGGGTCTCTTGGGATGAGTCGGTTTCTCTGATGAAGATAGTGACGGTTCTCAGAGGACAGCAATCCACAGCACAGCCACTGTTCGCTGCTGTGGGGACTGCCAGCATATCTGTGTTTTGAGGGGAGTGGGAGAGGCATTCATTCCAGGCATGGTGGCACATGCCTTTAAATCCAGCATCCAGGGAAGAGGAGCCAGGCAGATCTCTGTGAGTACAAGGCCAGCCTGGTCTACATAGCAAATCCCAGGCCCATAAGGAGCAGGATCCTCATGGCTGCCTCCTTCCTCAAGTCATTCCCACTTCTACCATTTTTACTGGAATACTGGATTCTCTTCCCTCCCATCTCTAGTCCGTGAGCTATCCAGCTAACACTGGTTTGCTTTTGGAAAACTGAGTTTGAGCTGGTGAGCAATAGGCCACCAAAGACCACAGAAGTGATGGCTGGGCAGGCCCCAGGCTGCACCTTCCCAACATTTTTGTTCCCCAGAAGTTTCCAAGGGAGCTGAGGCGATGGCTTGGTTCTGGGACCAGAGAAAAGGAATTGTTTTCCTGGGCGAGACCTTTGAAATCAGGCAGCCTTTCCGTAGCTGTCACTCGGGTTTCTGTAGTTCGTGCGCTGGGGTTACATTGGCACTTGGCACGCAGCCTGGCTCGGGGTGACTCCCTGCAAACATCCCCTCTCACACCCTAGATGAACTTGGGTGGCGTCAAAGAGTCCTACATACGGAAAAAGGAGATTCCCTTCAGCTCAGAGCAGAAGTGGATGGCAGTGAGGTGCAGCCTGAAGAACGAGGTGAGCTTGGCTATTGTTGAGACAGCCTCGCTATGGGGCCCAGACTGGCCTGCCTCAGGGTCTGAGAGCTGGGGTGACAGGAGTGGGCTGTATGAGCGCCATCCTTTCCCCAAACCAAAGTAAGGCACGAACACCCTGGGGAAGAGGGTGTCCGGGAGCTTCCAAACAGGAAAGTGACGGCCAGGAACCTGGCTTTATGACCCATGGGGCTCACGATGGGGACCTGCATCCCTGGGGTCTCTGGCTCCTCCTGGCCCACATTGGAAAGTCCAGGTGTGGACCCAGGGGCCTGCGTGTTTTGGGGGTCCTGGTACAGGCTCAAGCGTGAGGCAGCAGGAGGCACCCCAGAAACAGAGGATTTTTTTTTTCCTGTTTCTTTTCCAAGGATCGGGAAGACATTTACTTCATGAAGGGGGCCTTTGAGGAAGTGATCTGTCACTGCAGCATGTATAACAATGGGGGCATCCCCCTGCCTCTGACGCCCCAACAGAAGTCCTACTGCCAGCAGGAGGAGAAGATGATGGGGTCTCTTGGCCTGCGGGGTGGGTGCCCTGTCTCCCTCCCCTGCCCGCTGGGGCTTTGAGTTTGCCTCAGTGTTTGTTGCTGGGATTCGTGGGAGCAGGATCCTGGGGGAACCTGCGGCCAGCCAGGATGGCAGGCAGGGGCCGGCTGACAGCAATGCCCAGGGTGAGAGAGTGCCTAGTCATCCGGCCTGTGTACGGGGGCGTTGCTTGCCAAGTTCTGTAGGATTGAAGTCTGTGCCATGAACACTAATTTCAGGCACCGTTTCGCTCCCTGCCTTCTGCCATGAAAACCCTCCAAGGAAGGGAGACAGTTCATTTCCTGGCCACTTGCAGTTTTCTCGGCCACAGGGTCCATGGCTTCCCCATCAGACTGATGTTAAAGCCCTTGGGCTGTTTGCTGCCCTGTCCCTTGTTGGAGAAAACATCTTAAAACATGCTAAAATACTAGTATTCCTTGGGGGCAGGGGTAGGAGAGGAGCTGGGCTCACCTTTTCATTACTTTGACCCCCCTTGCCCCTGATGCCTGTAGGCCATCGCCCGGGGGCTGTGGCTGGACAATCTGCCTTGTGCCACCTGGGCTATGTCCTGCGCCCCCTCCCTCCCTATCCAGTGCATCCGTGCTGTCCCGAGAGCCACAGTGTGGCTTGCTAGGACAAAAGATGGTACCCCAGCCCCCGGCAACTGTCCCCGTGTCTCTCACAGTGCTGGCCCTGGCGTCTGGGCCCGAGCTGGGGAGACTTACATTCCTGGGTCTCGTGGGCATCATCGACCCCCCGAGGGCTGGCGTGAAGGAGGCCGTCCGGGTCCTCTCTGAGTCTGGTGTGTCGGTTAAGATGGTGACAGGGGACGCTCTGGAGACCGCCCTGGCCGTAGGTAACCGGGGTGAGGGGAGGCGAGTGGAGGGGCCTAACATGCATCTGAAAGGGCTCTGGGCTGTGCAGAGCAGTGCTCCCTTCTCCGCCTTGCATCCAAAGGGGGGAAAGTCTGTGTAAACTGCGGACCTACTACGCACGTAGGAGCTGTTCAGCTTCGATCTACACACACAGGTGGCATTCCCACTGTGGCGTTCCAGTCTGGCTCCCTCTGTTGGCTGGGCATCTTTGATAAGCCATAGAACCACTCTGATCCTTAAATCTCTTCATCACAATGGGCTAGCAGCTTGCTCTGCCTCCTCCAATTATCACCTGTTAAGAGCAGTCCATTTGGCTTTGCCCCACTAAGCCCAGTGCTGTGAGGTCACAAGCCAGAGTCTCAGAGGCCTCATGTGAGGTGCCAGTAATACCCCCTCCCAGCCGTGTGGCCTCAGGAAAGCCAGTTTTCACCACAGCTTCCTCGTCATGGGTAAATCCAGGTTCGCCACGGTCCTGTCAGACACTGTGACTGAGACAGACTAAAGTCAGGCGTGTCGCCTGCTGGGTGGGACAGGACCACAGTTCAGGCCTTGGAGCCACCCCTCAGCCCTGACTCTCTCAAAGGAAGAACCATCGGCCTGTGCAACGAGAAGCTGAAAGCTATGTCTGGAGAGGAGGTGGAGAGCATGGAGCAGGGCACACTGGCGGCCCGAGTGAGGCAGGTGGGTTCTCCCAGGGGCAGATGGGGCAGCGATGGAGGGATTCTCCACCTCCCATGTCCACTGATGGCTCTTTGGCTCCATGCCAGGTGTCCATATTCTTCAGGACCAGCCCAAAGCACAAGGTTAAGATCATAAAGGTAAGTGGGCTGAGTGACGGGCTGTCCAGGGTGGGACCATCTGGGCGAGGGCAGGCTGCCCAGCTGGCCAAGTGACAGGGACAGTCCAGAAGGCAGGGTGCTCAGCTGGCCTTGGTCATCGCTTTCTTCTCTAGGTTCTAGGCAGCTGCATGCATCCTATGCACCCATCCCTACTTTACAGGCCAGAATGCTAGCACATGCTCAGCTGCAAAGGATTCTGGGAAACGCCATCTCTAGTGGGATGGGCACTTCACAGCTAAAACATGGGTGGGCCCTAAAAACGTGGCTGTGGGAAAACTGGGGACCACTGGCCACAGACACTGGAAACAGCAGAGAATCACTGCTTTACATCACTGATGTAAAGAAAGAATATTCAGGTGCCCACATGGCGCTGCCGTGGTTTCTCTTTATCAACCAGAACCTGTTAGTTTCAGACCGTTCCCCACATCTGTACCTGGAAATTAACTGAGCTCTTTGGTGGCTGGAGCTTGTTCTTTGGGGGGTGTTTTGAGTGGGTTCTGGGATATTTAGTTTTTAGTGCTAAAGAATAAATGCCAACCACATACGGTGGCTCACACTGCCGTCTCAGCAGTCCTCCTGCTGAAACAGGAAGATTACAGCTCATGAGTTCCAGGGCAGCCTGAGCTACATAGAAAAACTGTTTTTTTAAAAAAAAAGTGTATATATATACACATACATCTACATATATATATATATATACATATACATATATATATATATTAAGATAAAATAAAAATGACACAGTGCATTGTGGGAACCAGTTCTCTCCTATTGACCATGTGGGTCCTGGGAATGACACTGAGGTTATCAAGATTGGCAACAAGTGTCTTTCAAGCGTCTTTTCCTGATGTATGGCTTAGTTTACTGCTCACTAACAGCACCTTTATAAATCCCATGTGTTGTCCTAACTGGGGTCTCCCGGCAGCCTGAGAGGCCATGACAGTGGCTGACACTGCTTTACAGATGAAAACCTAAGCTGAATAAGTCAGGGCTATGCCCGCCCTCACGGCCACAGCAGGAGAGCTACTGTGACTGGCCGGGCTGACCCCAGCATCTAGTGGCTACTGCCCCGTGGTACAGGCAGGGTGTCAGGAAGGGTCTGAGAGGGTTGCAGGGCCGAAGGCCGCCATCACCTGCTCTTCTCGAAGGCATTGCAGGAGTCGGGGGCAATTGTGGCCATGACAGGGGACGGTGTGAACGACTCGGTTGCCCTGAAGTCTGCGGACATCGGGATTGCCATGGGACAGTCAGGGACGGATGTCAGCAAAGAGGCCGCCAACATGATCCTAGTGGATGATGACTTCTCCACCATTATGTGAGCTGCCATAACCAGCATCCTCAGGATGGACTGTGGTGGATAGGAGGGGGGCTTTCTTGGGGTTCAGAGCACTCCCTGGAGACATCCCAGGCCCATCACTGTAGCAAGGGCCCCCACTCCAAATGTATGGAGCTTCTCAAGGTAGGGTCCTGGGGCCATCCCGTCATCACTGTGGGATATAAAGAAAACCTAGCCTAGTGGTTCTCAACCTTCCTAATACTGTGACCCTTTAAAATGGTTCCTCGTGTTGGGGTGACCCCCCCCGAACCATACAATTATTCAGTTGTTACTTCATAAGTAATTGTGCTCCTGTTAGGAATCATAATGTAAATATTTGGGGGACAGAGGTTTACCAAAGGGATTTCAACCCACATGTTGAGAACCGCTGGCCTAGAGCCCCTTGAATGGCCAGTAACCAGAGGCAGATGTTAGAAATCATATTTGGGGGCTGGGGGATGGCTCAGCCAGCAGAAGTGCTTGGCCGGCAAGCATGGGGCTTTGAGTCTGACACTAACCAGCCAGCCGGCCTCACCTCACCGGTGAGCTCCAAGCAGTGAGAGATCTAGTCTCCAAGAAGGCTGACAGCCTTCCTGGGGATGACACCAGGTTCTCTGGCCTCCACACGTGTGCACGCTTGCACAAGTGAAAGTCATGGTTGGAGGCTCAACAAAGGCACATACCTGTGATCCCTGAATTCAGGAGGCTGAGACAGGAGCACTGAAGTTCCCTTCCTCTGGATTTAATTTTAACCAGCTTTAATTCAGAATTTGCTCTTGAGTAAATCACAATACTTAGCGTCCAGAACATTTGGAAGAGTGTTTTTAACAGCAGACACACCACTGTAGCAACATTTCTCTGCCATTAAAACTCTCCCAAGCATGATTTAGAGAGAGAGAGAGTGTGTGTTCATGTGTGTGTTCCATAGACATAGCCGTAGACGTGCCTGTAGTTCTGGCACTGTGAGAGGCAGGGAGGAATAGGAGATCCCTGGGACTTGCTGGCTGCCAGCTTTGCTTCAGTCTCTGTGAAACACTGCCTCAAAGGAATAGGTCAGAGAGAGAGCAGGACACCCAACATATTCCTATAGCTCCACACACATGCTCTGACACACAGAAACTGCACAGGAACATACACTCAAGACAGATGGACGGTGATGGCTCTGACCCTTTAGTGTGGAGTTTGGATTCTTTGATTCTGCTGTGTCAAGCAGGCTCCACATCCCGAGCACAGATGGGGCCCTGAGCTCCAGTTGAGAGGGCTCACACACGGGATTTGCACAGAAGGGCCGACATCACTTCCTACCTGTGTGTCCCGGGAGCGCCCTGCTGTACCGGGCCTGACCACACAGTGGCTAAGCCAATCCCCGGGACCTCTCTGCCCACACACACACTCATCTCCCTTTCAGGAGCGCAGTGGAGGAAGGCAAGGGCATCTTCTACAACATCAAGAACTTTGTCCGCTTCCAGCTGAGCACGTAAGCAGGGGTGGACCCTCCTGCGTCGTCCCTGGGTGCCGCACCTGTGCCTGGCGCATGCGTTGAGGGGCTGCCTGTCACCCGTGTCTCACAGGAGCATCGCGGCCCTGAGCCTCATCACCCTGTCCACCGTGTGCAACCTGCCCAGCCCCCTCAACGCCATGCAGATCCTGTGGGTGAATATCATCATGGATGGGCCGCCAGCGCAGAGGTGAGGCAGTGGGCTGCAGGCAGGACCACTTCCGCCCCTTCTTGGAAAGGGATCTCCAGGCTGCGGAAGTGCGAGCAGTTTTCGGAAGGGCAGGCTGGAGCCCTGTGCTCCCTAGGTCATGGCGCACTCCTGGGGCACGGGGCTCAGTCCCCCCGTAAAGTCAGCCCCCCACATGCAGGGAGTCCTCCCCTGAGCACTCTTAACAGGAGTGGCCTCATCCGTGGGCCTGTGCCCTGCTTTTTCCCTCAAGGGGAAAGTGTCACATTGTTTTGACTGATTGGATCCATCCCCACCGTAGCTGGTTACCATGGACTCCATGCACCTTTGACCCCCACGGTGATGTTTGCATGACTTGGATGCTCAGGAACTCAGCGGTGCCACAGGCGTGCACGGGAAGGGCACAGGCTGGCGGGAGGGCACGGGAGACCTGTGTGCCCAGCAGCCTTAGTGGAGGTGTCATTCTAAAGGCGGCGATGTTACTATTAGTGTCAAGCATAACCATCTGCTGTGCTCCAGGGAGGGAGAGGCCCAGTGACTTCCCCCGAGCCCAGTGAGGGGCTGCAGCTTCTGGGAGGCTCCTGTGTGAGAGGCAGCAGGCCGGGTAGCACCCAAGGCTCTACCCTATGTGCATCTGGGACCTCCTGTCATTTCTCCAGGCCGCTCTCAGGACCCCTTCCGATAGTGGGAACTGCATGGGGGGGGGGGGGGGGCTGTGACATGGGGAAGGCCCGAGCCCACTGCTGGCCCTGGCTAGCTGCTTGGCCTCTCCACATCTGGATACTTGGAGACAGATGAGAGGCAGGGCTATCTCTGAGGCAGTCGCTGGGGGAAAAGACAGCCTCACTTCCAGGCAACAATCCAGAGCGCAAGGCTGAGGTGTGGGCCTGGACCAGTGCTGTTTTTTAAGTGTTTGGTTCTCTGAGGCAGGCTTTCGCTCGGTAGTTCTGCCTGGCTTGGGGATTCACTATGTAACCTAGGCTGGCCTTGAACTCAGAGATCCTCCTGCCTCAGCCTCCCGAAAGCTGGGATGACAGGTGTATACCACAGGGCACAGCTTCCAAGTGGCTTTGGCCGTTTCAAAGCCTCACTTTCCTTTTTCTCCACAGCCTGGGGGTGGAGCCTGTGGACAGAGATGCCCTTCGGAGGCCTCCACGGAGCCTCGGGGACACCATCCTGAACAGAGCTCTGATCCTGAAGATCCTCATGTCGGCCACTGTCATCATAGGAGGGACTCTCTTCATCTTCTGGAGGGAGGTGAGCGAGGCATGTGCAGGACTGAGCACTGGAGACGTGGGTGTTCTAACGGGGAGAGAGACTCTGTCACACACACAAAGGAGCTTGGTGCTGTCAGAGGCCAGAGAGTGAGTGGGGAGAAGCATATAGGCCAAGCATTGGGACCAGAGCCATTTTATCATAGGACGCTCTCTTAGCACAGGTCCATCTTCATGTCTCATTGGGCCATGAAATCGCTGGCATGGTTGTCCATGGCCAAGATGAGGAATTAGGCGGGGATCTGAGCCTCCCGTAGGCTGAGGACCCCCGTTGTGTTTAGACATGTCCTCCGGGATAGCCAGAGGAGCTTGGTTCTGAACAAGTCTGCCTGGCAGCTGAGGTGGAGAGGATTCCATTAGATAGGGGAAAACTGAGGCAAAAAAAAAAAAAAAAGGTCTTAAAAACGTACACCCACAAATCCATCTCACCAGGGCTCTGGCCAGTCCCAGTGATGAGCCAGCCCGGGCAGACAGAGCTGGACTGCAACTGATGCTCTTATCATGCTGAACTGTCAGCTGCCCCACTCTCCTCATAGGACCTGGGTTCTGGTCTGTGGGTTTGTGTAGCAGCATGACCTGAGAGGCAGTTAGTTATCCACTCTCAACCTTCCTCATGCTGTGATGACCCCCAACCATACAATTATTTTCATTGCTACTCCCTAACTGTAATTTTGCTACTGTGTGAATTGTAAATACTTGTGCTTTCTCATGGTCTTAGGCGACCCTGTGGAAGGGTTGAGACCCCCGGGAGAAGTGCCTTTCCCTTCTCTGCTACTTTCCAGCTGTGCTGGCAACTGGCATTCCTCCCAGGGTGCGAGTTCTCTGGGGCCAGCACAGAACATGGCACAGGGCCAGCTTCTAGTATATACCCTTGGGGCTGGGCTGACCAGGGACCCCACCCCACCCCCAGCACACCGTATCCCTCAGCTCTGAGGCAGGGGGTCCCCCTTCCTCCTCTGCCATGAGCACATCTGTGATTCCAGATCCCAGAGAACGGCACCAGCACCCCAAGGACCACCACCATGGCCTTTACCTGCTTCGTGTTTTTCGACCTCTTCAATGCCCTGAGCTGCCGCTCTCAGGTGAGCAGGGATGACCCCGCCCCAGGCCACGCCCCTGTGGCTGGGGACACTGTACCACTGCCTCTCTACACTCTTGGCAGAGTTTTGGGGAGAGGGGTGCAGGAACCAGCCTTCATGCCCCTAGTGGCTCCCGGTCCGGCGCCTGCCATCCTGCCCAGGTGCCATCATGGGGGGACACAGACGGCACAGTGGGGCCCAGCTGCCGAATCCACGCTGTGTGCCCGCAGCAGCCCACTTGTGCCTCCCCCCCCACCCCACCCCCCTGCCAGACCAAGCTGATATTTGAGATCGGCTTTTTCCGGAACCGCATGTTCCTGTACTCGGTCTTTGGGTCCCTCCTCGGGCAGCTGGCTGTGATCTACGCCCCGCCCCTGCAGAAGGTCTTCCAGACAGAAAACCTGAGAGCGCTCGGTGAGTGCCGGGAACAGAACCAGCGGTCACCTGAGACGGGCCAGAGCGCGGGAGGTGGCCGTCCTCAAAAGACAGGCTCGTCCACAGGCATCTGCTCTGTGGCACATAGGGTAGAAAGCTGACACACAGACACGAGGAACACACAGGAAGCCCAAAAAGAAGCCCCTCTGCTGAGAGTGGGACCCCGGGCTAGGCCTGGGTGGCGGAGTCCTCTGCCTCAGGTCACACACAGTCTGGGGCTTGACTGGGGCTGGTGTGGCCTTGACAGCTCTCTCATGAGAGAGCTGGTCACCCAGCAGTTCTTGCTGAAAAGGACATAATTTAGCAGTCAGGGATGCCCAGAGGCTACCGTTTGTGTGCCCTGCTCTGGAGCGCAGGACTCTCCCCCCGCCAAACAGAAGTGGGGACAGGGAGCAACCAGTCCCTAGGCCTGTAGGACAAGTAGCCCAACAGCAGCAGCTGCAGGTCCCCTACCTTTCCTTCTGTCCCAAGTTGGTCACTGACCACCTCCATCCAGGAGGACGGAGGGTCAGCTTCCAGATCCAGCACAGCTCACTACAGGCCCAAAGCGGCCGTGTGGGTGTGAACATACGCAGATAGGGCACTTCAGACCTTGGAGCAGGCCAGATGGACACCCCTCCCTGTGACCTAAAACCCATGTCCCCGTGGGAGCCCAGTGAGTGGCCTGGGAATGAAATGGAAAAAAGGAACTCAGGAGCTGGGGAGACAGGTCAGCATGAGGACCCAGGTTTGAGCCCCAGAGGCCACACGGCAGGAATGGGGGAAGTTCCGGGCCTCCATGGCCAGCCAGCCTCAAAATGGTGAGCTACAGGTTCAGTGAGTGAGAGACACTGTCGCAGAAGGTGGAGGGCAGAGACCCCGATATCAATACCTGCACATTCACGAAAGCACTCACACAAAGAAACCCTTGGGCTGGGCCTGGGGCTCTGAGCAACCCTCAGCATGACCTAAGCATGCCTGTAATCTCAACTGGCGCTGGAGAGATGCAGGCAGGAGGATCAGGGCTACATAACCTGAAAGACAGGGAACCCCGGGCTCACCTGAGACCCACCTCTGAGAGACAGGGAACCAATGAGCAAGTTTGTAAGTGGCCTTTTCCGTGGTGGGGAAGAAAGCCAGCTTCCAAAGCCACCGTGATTTGCATCTAGTGTCACAGAAGGACCCTGGTTTCTTCAAGGGTGGCAAGCTCCTTCCCCGCCACCGCAAGTCTATCAAAGAGCACCGAGGGAGGCGCTGCAGGACGTGGTGGGTGCCCTGCAGGTGGGCACTGCTGTCTGGGCCTCTCTTCCCACAGACCTGCTGCTGTTGACTGGCCTGGCCTCATCCGTCTTCGTTCTGTCAGAGCTGCTCAAGCTGTGTGAAAAGTTCTGCTCTGGAGCCAGGACCACCCAGATGCTCCCAGAGGCCGTGTAAAGGGACCGCTGTGTCACAGCCCTGAGCAACCTGTGTCCTTGGGGGCCTGTGGCCTCTTCTCCAGTCTTTCAGCACTGTCTACTCCAAGAGGCAAGATTTGAAGGACCACACAGCCTCAGGACCCTGGCTCCACATGTCCTCCTGGCCTGCTGGGACCTGTCGTGCACAGGACAGGGTGGGGCTCACACTAAAACATGGAACTATTTATTAAAACCACCGTGTTTTTTATTTAACCTGTCTCTCTCTGTGCTTGAGCAATGTGGCCCCAGGTGACAGCACGGGGCCTCACGGCAACCAGGGGTGCAGCCTCTCTGCCCACAGCCGTCCCCTTTGGGGCCTGGCTTCCTCACCGAAGATGCGGTTCCACAAACAGCTATGCCTCATGGTTTTGAGTTCAGTCCCCAGTGCTCCAGAAAACAAAACAAAAAACTCCACGAGTACTGCTTATGTAAAATCTGATTCAAAAGCAAAAACAGGGTGGCGGCAACCGAGCATGGTTAGGGAATTTAGTCATCTAAAAACCTGAAACGCCACAGATTTTTACAAAACTGTGCTGTGACCGAAATGCCAAGTCCCCTAGCGTTTGCAAAGCTCTCGCTCTATCAACCTCCACTCCTGACAGGAATGCCTCAAACACAAACACGAATGGAAGTCCCCCTCTCCCCCCCCAAGAAAACCAGATACATGCCAGCATCATGCCTCGTGGAGAAAGAACAGTCTCCATGTGGGTCAGGAGCTTGGGGGGCATCGCAGGACTGGGCACTCACCTGACATGCCAGTGACTCAGGAGGCTTAGGCAAGAGGATTACAAGCTCAAGGGCAGCCTGGGCACCTCAGGCAGACTCATGATCCCCCTGCCTCTTAAAAGGACTGGGACTTAGCACTAGAGCCGCTGCCACATGAGGCCCTGGGCTCAGTCCCACCCTGGAAACAAAAGAGTCGTGGGAATATGTGTAATGCCACTAGAGGAGCCATGCACGCTCAAGACAATCTATAGCTGAACAAAAAGCCATTATGGTGGCTGCCAGGGGGAGCTGGGACCCGCAGCGTGGCATCTCCCTGGCAGCACAGGCTCTCGGGTCCCTCCACACTTCCCTCAAGTGAGGTAAAGCCCACGCTCCTGGGTCTCAAGGAGGCGGACTGGCGACCCTGACACACTTCTGGCTGGGGGTCATGACACGAAGGGATTCAACAAGCAGCAGGGACAGATCTCACACACATGGACTCATGTGTTCCCACATGTACTCACAAGCACACATCACACACACGTGGAGATGCATGACGGCATATGTTCCCCCCACACACACATCTGCTACAGGCATGCATCACACACCTGTGCACCTGCATAAGCACGTTACGCTTACACGTGGATCTACATCTGCACACAGGCATGTCACACATGTACATAAGAACATGTCCCCCCCCACATCTGCACACAGGCATGTGTCACACATGTACATAAAAACATGTCCCCCCCCCACACATCTGCACACAGGCATGTGTCACACGCGTGCGCACCTGCAGACAGGCAGACATCCATGCAGACAAAATGTCCATTTTACGTATACCACATAAACACAATTTTTAAAAGAAAGTGGCTGAAGAAGAGGAAATCGTATCATGTAACAGACGGTCTCGGGCTGAGGAGACAGCTCGGCAGGGAAAGCGGAGTGTCAAAGCCCAACAACTCACGCTCAATTCCTGGACTCGACTACAAACCAGCTACAGGGGTCTTCTGTGATCGCAGTGCTCCTAACTGCTGAGCCCCTCTCCCGCCCTCAAAAAGAAAAAAAAAAAAAAAGAATCTCATAAATCAAAAAGACACCCTAGAAAGCCAGAACACTTTGAAAAAGGAAGCTGTCCACGGCCACGCTCCTTGGTGAGCGGGCAGGCACTCCGTATGTTACAGGGTGAGTGACGGTGAGCGCTGACCCACCTCAGCCGGCACAACTGTAGCCGCGGTGTCTGAGAGGCAGAAGCAGGGGGACCTTGAGTCCATGGCTAGCCTAGGCTATAGGACACCCTGTCTCATAAAGCCAAGGGCTGAGGACAAAGCACAGTAGTGAGCACTTGCCTAGCGTGCTCAAAGCCCTGGGTTGCATCCCACAGTATTACCAAAAAGGAGAGAAGGAAGGAGAGGGGGAGGGGGGGAGAGAGAGAGAAGGCATCTTTTAAACCAACTAGTCACTCAGTTCATCCCAGAGACACAATCATGGACACACCAAGGATGGCCACTGTAGCAACAGTCAGTCTCCAATAAGATGCTGACCTACCTGACAAGATGGAGCATCTACACAGCTGACAGATGGGGAGAAACCCTGAGCAACTCACTGAAAAGCCAACGCTGAGAGATAACGTGTGGCCACACAGCTGTGGCCCACTGTGCAGAGTGACCTCCCGGGGGCACACAGGAGGAGGGGCATACCTTCCAGAGCTGTCCTTTCTCATCTCCATCCTTCCAGCACTTCACTCAGGCATGTGTTATAACCATGTTTGCAGTGCGGTCTGTGCTTCTTTACCGTTTCCCTCCAACACTTTTTGGGTCCGGTCAGCTCAGCATGGAGGTAGGTCTCTGGCACTTACAGCTGAATTCTTGTTCCTGGTTCACAGAAGGCCACACTCCTCATTTGCAAGAAATGGAAAGTTCCTTGGGGCCTGGCTGATACCCCACAAACATTTGGGCCCTCAAAAACATTACAGGTGTGTGTGGGGGGAACAGAGCCTGCTACCACCCCAAGAGGGCTGCACTGTGAGCAAACACTTTTGGGTGCCGTCTTGAGGGGTGGAATTCCATCCCAGCACAGAGGTCAGAGAGCATGGGGGCCATAGTGTCATGACTTCCCAAGGGGTCACACCAAGCCTTGGTCACCACAGGTCTGTTACCAACAAGACACACCACTACATTTTTATTTTAAAACAAACAAAACACTTATCAGGCAGTTGTGGCGCATGCCTTTAATCCCAGCACTCGGAGGCAGAGGCAAGTAGATCACTGAGTTCGAGGTCAGCCTCATCTACAAAGTATGTTCCAAGATAGCCAGGGCTACACAGAGAAACCCTGTCTCAAAAAACAAAGCAAGGGGCTGGAGAGATGACTCAGTGATTAAGAGCACTGTCTGCTCTTCCAATTGGACTGGGTTCAATTCCCAGCACCCCCATGGCAGCTCATAACTGTCTATAACTTGGAGATCTGACATCTTTACACTAATGCACATAAAATAAAAGTAAATAAATTATTTTAAAGAAAGAAAAGTCTGAGGATTCAGACTTAAAAAACAAAACAAAAACTATTCCACAGCACAGTGACCTAATTCTGTGAAGTTACAGTGGGACTGTCTGAAGATTCTAGTATTTTCTGTCTCTATCCCACAAACCATTGACCACAGGCTTCTTACCAAGAAAACCAAAATGGCCCAGCTCTTGTCAGCACCACATGCCCTCCAGCACAGGAATGGCACCGGTATTCAAAAGGTGCTAGCCTCAGACCTTTCTGCTGTGCTCAAGATTGGTACATGGAGTATTCCAGGAGCCTCCTGGGCAAAAAATGCAGAATAGGAGAAATGCACACAGCCAGCTGTACTATGGCTGTTAATTGGAACAAGCTGTATCATCAAAGGTAGAACCTTTATCAGATCTATAAAGGTTGACATTTACAGCAAAAGGCAAACAACGGAAGAGGTAGAGGTCTCACAGAGAGGCTCACAGCTCTTTGGAGTGGATGAAACTGGACAGTGATGGCTCAAGGTGTGATGGGCAGCTGCCCGCCTGAGTAATCTTCAGTCTTTCAGGATTGCTGGAGTCCATCTTAAAGTCTACAACTGTCCACTTTGAATTAAGATGCCATTGACGACAAAAAAAAAAAAAAAAAAAAGTATAAGGCCAAGGTTCTAACCTACACTCAGGGTCCCTGGGGGGCGACACCCATCAATTATGGCTTCAGAGGGATTTTTCTTGGCATGGCTGTGTTCGGATTAAGTATGTCCATGATGGCCTTGGGTGTGACCATGTGGCTCTGAGTTAAGGCTAAGCCAGAGTGAGGGCGGATGGTCTGGAGAGCTCCGCTTGGCCCAGCAGTGAGGAACCTGGGTGCTGTGTGCATCCCTGGGGGAGTCCCTGCTCCTGCTCCAGGAAGTCCACTGTCCAGGAGCTTCAGTCATCACCATCATCATGGATTTCCCGCAGTCCCTCACTGTGGCGGGTCCGTCCACTGGCCTCCAGCATGGCCCGGGCATCAGGATTTGAGTCGAGGATGCTCTTCTTGTTCTTGGCCTTGGGAAGAAAGGGGTGGGTATGTTCAGTACGAACAGGAGGAGATAGCAGCTCCCCCCAACCCAGACCTCACAGTGACTCCCTCCCAGCGGTTGGCTTATCAGACTGGAGCCACAGGAGGCCAGGTGGCATGGGTACCCTGAAGTCTCCCTGGCTGGGATGCAATTGCCAGGGTCATGCAGAAACCTGTTGTTCTTGCACACAGGTAGGGTGGGCCAGCTAGCTGGGCTGGGTGCAGAGCTTATGGAGGTCCCCCTCTCTGAGGCAAACCCACACTCCACTCTGCTGCATGCGTCCTGGCATGGCCCACAGCTGGTAAGGACAAGCTGGCCCTGGATGGAGAAGCAGGCAGAGTGAAGAGTAAGAAGCAGAAAGACCGTGGCTCTGCATGAGGTCACAGCCATGGAAAACTCACCAGATGGGTCTCTGGGAGGTTGCCAAGTCCCCACACCTCCATCTTGTCAAACTGGAATTCCTCCTGGGCAGACAGCTGTGGACTGTTGTAGGTGGTGCATGCAGGCTTGGCCTTGCTGTGTCCTTTCCCGAAGTCGGCGGCCACCCAAAGCCCAAAGTAATAGTGCTGCCCGCCCATGCCCTGCAGAGTGGGGCAGGCAACAGTGTCAGCAGCCATCAGCAGGTCCAGAACTTCAGAAACAATGAGCTTCATCGCTCCAGAGAACCGGGAGGAGCCTGAGTTCTTGACTAGCCTGAGCTACAGAAAGTTCCAGGCTAGCCTGAGCTAAAAGACCTTGTCTCAGAAAGAGAGGGTGGTAGTGGAACCAGCCTGCGACATGGGGAAAGCAGGGTTGTGATTATAATCATGTTCCGAGTTGCTAAATGGTCATGGACACCATCAAACTACACTCCACAGCTCTCTGCAAGGCTACACACAAGGGACAGCAGACTAGAAAATCTGCAGACGCCCTGGGCAGCACTTGGGGATGAGCTAAAGCACAGGGACCCCTGTGTCCTGTCCCCACGGGAAACCGACCTCTGCCCAATGACTCTCCCTCAGAAAAGGTGGCAGGCTGAGAGCGGCAACTCAAATGCTTTTCCCTCTGCCAGGCTCAAGCCCGCTGTAACCCTGCCTCCCGGACAGCTTTGTCCTAAGGTCGCCTCTGTCACACCCTCTTGTCCCTGGTGGGCCTGGGGTACATGTGGTGGCTACCTGCTTCCATCTTGGACTGTAGGGGTCTGAGCCTATGTCTAGAGACCACTTTTGGTCCCCAGGCCAAAGACTAATGGTCCTGTGGATACTGAGGTTACTCCTGAGGCTGACAGCCAGGCCTACTCTGGGAGGGGGCCCATGCCTAAACTCTGGTGTCCTGGGAACCCGACCATGTCCCTCCCATTTGCTTTGGCAGCAGCTTGGGAGGGAAACCCTGACCCTCTGTAGCTGGCAGCCTTGGCTCTCAGCTCAGCAAGCACAGAGCTGGGCCTTCCCAGAAGACTCATCAAGAAGCATGGGCGGGGGGTGGGGGGGTGGAGGCCAGCAGGTTGGATGGCTCTCACCCATGCCAAACATCCTTATGAGCATCTGTCACACTACACCACTACCCATCCAGCCGCCATTGCTCACCTGCCCCCTCTTCTCCCCTCCCCTCTACCTCCCCCATTCATTTCTTCTCTCCTCCCCTCCCCTCCTATCCCCTCCTCTCCTCTTATTCCTGTGGCTAGCAACAGGCAAGAAAACGGCCACCACATAGAGCCCATTTTCTGTCTCATGAAGTTACCACTAACTAGACCAGTGCCCAGAGGCCCCGGCTCAGGGACCTTCTGCCACCACCAAGCTCAGCACATGGGCTCACTGTGCAGTTACATGCGGGTGTGAGGCAGACGGCAGTAGCTTGTGACGGCTGCAGAACAATCGTTCGGGAACCAGGGAAACGGCTGGACTGTTTGCACACAGACCAGGGGGACATCCGGCAAAGGCATGGCTATTGCGAAGGAAGATGTGCTCTAGCATTGGCTCTCAGCACATACCACAGGGGGACAGAACGCTCTCACACCTGGCTGGTGGGACACCCCTCCCCCTCCTGCTTACCAGTCCGTTGGGCATGGTCTGCTGACCCTGATTCAAGTACATAAAGTGGTCATTGTAACCCGTGTGCATGTACGTGGCCATGCTGGGGAAGACGGAGAACAGGAAACACTTGCTGTCCCCTGGAAATGACGGAGAGCCAAGGAGAGCAGTCACTGCCTCAGAGCCAGACACCAAGAACTGCCAACACCAACAGGCTGAGCCTCAGGATGCAGCAACTAAGATCTTGTGCATCTTCAGAGGGAGGTATGGAGTGGTGATGAGAGGCCCGGCCCCAGACCCCACACAGGACAAGACTTATGGATGTCTAAGAACTTAGGAGGAGAGGCTGAGGGCTCAACGATCTGATGACAGTGAATAGACAGTGTGGCCATCTTCAGACCAGGCGACAAGAGTTGAACCCAAGAGCTCCACCACCATATCCCATTGTCAGTGTGGACCACCTGCTGTGCACCAGGCTCAAGCCGCAGAGCACGTGGGAGTCCGGAAAGTGCCCTCTGCACCAGAGCCAAAGCCTGACTGTCTCAAAACCTTTGCTGCAGGGAGTCCTGCAGCAAAGGCTCCGGAGGAAGTGGGTTTCATCCGAGACCTCACTCAACCCTTGAGTGGAGCCTGTAGGGGTACAGTGAGGTGGCAAGCTCAGCCTGACCCGGAGTCTCTAGTGGGGTGCAGGGTAACCGCTTCCTAGGACAACAGGGCAAACAGCACACGCATGCAACGAGCCTCAACAAACCGACTTTTTCCCTCCCGGCCCTGTGACCATCAGCCTGACCAGGAGCTCTCTGGGAATGGCAGTACCACCTACACACGCCTGGCACGACCCCTCCCTCCCCCGCCCCGGCCTCCAGAGCTGGATTTGCAGGGGGAAGAGAAGGAAGAACTGAGGCACACTGTAACAGAGGGGCACCATGATGGCACCTTGAGTGAAAGCTGGCCGTGTGTGGGCACAGGAAGCGGGTCCTCCGTGGGGACAGCTCCTGGGAGGGCAGTGAAGGAAGGGTACAGCTGACCCGGTTACACATGGAGCTTCTGTAGCCAACAAAGCCATACAAGCAGAAGGGGGAGGGGCACGCCAGGCCACCACAGTCGGTAGTGGGCAGTGCAGCAAGCATAGGCACCCCGTGAAGAGGTGACTCACCCCATCCGGGCATCTGTCTGGTGACAGGTGACATCTGAGTCAGGGTTGATGCCCCCCCCCTTCCAGGACCAAAGAAGGAGTCTGTGATGCCAGGAGAAGCATAATAGTTCTATCACAGCGTAGGAGCCAGGCATGTGCGTGTGCAAGCCGACGTGTGTGCAAACCTGTACAGAAGCTGAAGGTTGTGCCATCTCCCCAGCCCTCCCGAGGCGACTTCAAGCCCTCAGGGTTTAGGTCCCTGCCATGATTCGAGTGTGAAATGTCCCCCATGGGCTCGCTTGTCTGAACACGTGGGGCTGTCTGGGGGTTGCTATGGAACCTCTAGGCAGAGGAGGAGGAGGGTGCTGAGGAGACTCACAGGTTACTTCTGTCCTGCCCCCCACAAAATGTGTGTACCCGTGTTTTGCCTACATGTATGTATGTGCGTCCCATGTGTGCACAGTGACCCTGGGGCCAGAAGAGGACATCAGATCCCCTGGAGCTGGAGCTAGGCAGCTGGGAACCGCCACGTAAGTGCGGGGACTCAAACCAGGGCTCTAACTTCTGAGCGTCTCTCCGGCCCCACTACAATGCTCCTTAACCCACCAAGATGTAGGCGAGCAGCCGGCACCTGCTCCCGCTGCCTTGTCCACCATGATGACCTGTGACCCTGCAAACCCTGAGCCATGACACAGCCTCTTGGCAGGTAGCTGGTCACGGCAACAAAGATCAGTGTCCTAAGCTTCACTTCAGTGGCTCCGATAAGACCCGAGCAACAAGCAGCACAGGGACTGGGGATTGTCTCATAACTAACTCCAGGTTATGGCTCATCATTTTGGGGAAGTCCAGGCAAGGACTCAAGCAGCTGGGCACACCACAACCACAGAGAGGGCACATCCACAGTGCCCACTGGCTCTCAGCTGGCTTTCATTACTCTTATACAGCTTAGGCCCCGCCCACAAAATGGCACCACCAACAATGGGCGGGATCTTCCCACATCTATTAAAGGCCTGCTCTGGCCGAGCCTAAGACTCCCTTTCCAGGGAGTTAACACTGCCCGGCACAGTACCCCCTGCCGCCTTGGAGTCTTACCTTGGAACTGAGGCTTAAGCTCCCAAGAGCAGGAGGCGAAGCCACCGAAGACGTAGCCGTCCTTGTCCTTGAGGACGAGCAGGCAGGGCCCCTGGTGCGTGATATGGCTGCACAGCTGGGAGAAGCTCTGCCCGTGGAGCTGTGTGGAGAACAGCAGGCGCCAGACGTGCCGGTGCTCGGCCTCCAGGTGGGAGTTGAGGTAGATGACGGCCAGCATGTCCAGAATGCTCTCAAACGGCCTCCCTCGGTCCACGTGGCACTCGGGGACCAGTGTGGAGAGGTCAAAGGATGAGCTCAGGAGGCGAAGGCCCCTGTGGACGACCACACTCAGAAACATGCCCATGTGGGGCACGTGGAACACCCAGTCCTGGATCATGGCTTGGTCGCAGACCTGGTCCAGGAACTGAGGGCCCAGAAACTTGTGGCCATCTAAGGAAAGAGGGGATTGGCATTACTGAGCCCATTGTGTCACCTTACGGCCACTGTCCAAGCCTGCAAGGACCAAGCTAAAAACCATAAGTCACTGGGAGGCGGCTCGTCTGAGCTGAGGCATGTCATAGATCTAATGAGCACTCCTAATTTTAAACACCCACTATGACGACTTACTGTGAAATACCAAAATATTCACATTATATTGGAAGCATATTTTGGATATATTAGCAAAACTCACGTCTGTTTCTTTGTATAATTTTGTTCTTGTTGGAGAAAGGGTCTCATGTCATCCAGGCTGACCTCAAGCTCACTATACTGAGGATGGCCTTGAACTCTCATCCCTCTTGGCTCCACCTACCACATGCTGAGATTACAGATGTGTGCCACAACTGATTTATGCAGTGCCCGGGCTTGAAGCCAGGGCTTTGTGCACACCAGGCACTACTGACTGAGGCACAGCCTCAGGCCAACCTTTGTACTATTTTAATGTGACCACTAGAAAATCTGACATCTTGTGGGCTGGCCTATTTCATTGGCTGGTACAGATTTGAACAGCTTGATCTCTGGTTTTTCCTCTCCTCAAACTGCCCTCTGGAAGCCTGTGATGACAGGAGGCCTTTACAAGGAAGGCCAGCTTGGGAACCCCACAGCTCCAGTGACCATACCCAACCAAGGACTTTGGCCCCAAAGATTAGCAGAAGGCTGGAGACCTGTACTGTTCCCTGGCAGGATAGGCTGTGGCTCATGGAGCACCGCTGGCTTGCCTGGGAAAGGCAGGTTTTACCAACTACTAACCACATCTCTTTCCAAAAATACCCAGTGTAGCTCTCCGCTACCTAACTCCAAAGAGCGGAGGTGACAGGGTAACCTGTACGGCATCCCTGGATCTTGAATTCGGGGTCACTGGGTTTAAAGTGGAGGTTATGCTAGACCCTACTAAACTGCCATGGAGACAGGAGGAACATACATAGTTGAACTTGCAGAAAGAGATGGAAGGCTCAGTTCACACCTCGGAATCCCAGGGAGTAGAACCCAGGTGTGAACTCAGCAAGGTTGGATTTATTTTATTTTGTTTTGGAGACAGGGTTTCTCTGTGTAGGTCTGGCCATCCTAGAACTCACTCTATAAACCAGGCTGGCCTTGAACTAAAAAGATCCGACTGCCTTTGCCTCCACTGCACCCTGTGGTAAGGTTGGATCTCCAGCACCAGTGTCTCAAGTGCCTGGAACTCCTGCTCCAGAGGGTCTGACGCCCTCTTCTTGCCTCTACATGCTACACCCACTCCAGCGTCGTCAGTGTAGCATAGCAATAGATTGTGCCAATAGACGGGAGATACGTTTTCTTCGGGAACACGCTCCCTGGAGGTCCCTGGCAAGTGTCCCCCCCCCCACACACACACCACCACCACCTAAGCTAAAAAGACGTATCCTGAGATTTCTATGCTTTCTCGGTTGCGGTTGTGGGGTTGGATTAATGAGCCTTTTGATTTTTCTCTATTATTCTTGGGACAGCACAATTAACTATTCAAGGAAACATATTTTTGATAGATTACTAAAAGCTTTAATAAGAATAGAATGGAAGAAAAATAATTTTAAGAGAAGTAATGAATCAGATTTAGTATTAAAAAGCATTACAAGAATAGTGAAAAAAATAATGGGCTCCTACTTAGGAAAAGAGAGCATAGGAAAGTACAGCTGGCTCGAGCATGCCTCCCTTCGGCGTCTTGTTTCTAAGGAAGATTATAAATCTTTAGCAAGACATATGGGAGGACGATTAACAAAGGTGTATTTAGACTTTGATGCAGAGAAAGATTTTGGCAGGCATCTGACTTAGCTCCTGACTTTCCTCTTCACTGGTTAGCAATAATGAAACTGCAGTTTGAGGTTTTGTCCTTTGTTTGCTTTGATCAAAAAGTTCTCAGGCCAAGATTTCTTGTGGGCACTGCTTTATGTTTGGCTACACTTTTGAGTCAAAGTGTAAACTTTGTATTCTTGGTAAAAATCTAAGTGTTCTGGGAAGTATGCCAACTTTAAGGTGTTTCCTTATGCAATTATTATAAAATTATTAGCCTGACTTCAGTAAAATTGCAGCAGAATCAAACACTCTTCGGTATGGCCTCTGTCATTCGTCTACCTGTGTCTAACCTGATATCCAAAAACCCTGATTCTCCCGCGGTTGTGGGACCCAGCTGGGTCAGTCCGTGGCATCTACAGGCACCCACACATTTGTGCACACACAAATAAAACTAAATCCATAAACGTCTTAAAACACTAGATGGGCCTGTCATGAGGGCACACACCTTTAATCCCAGCACTTGAGAGGCAGAGGTAGGAGGATCATTGTGAGTTCCAGGCCAGCCTGGACTACAAAGCAATCCCAGGATAGCCAAGACTACACAGAGGAACCCTGTCTTAAAAAAGCAAAAGAAAGAAAGAAAGGAAAAGTAAAAAAAACCTACTACGATGGATAACAACCAAAGCAGCACATGGCAGCCTCTGGGATGCAGCTGAAGGGTCGTTCAGGCGGAAACTTTACAGCTATCAACACCTACACTGAAGAAAGGAGACCTCAAATTAATCATCTAAACCTTGCTGAAGAAACTAAGAATTTCATGGCATCGGAGATCTCTGGCTTGGTAAAACGCTGTCAAGCAAAGCTGAAAACATGAGCTCAGATCCCCGGCTGTGTCCCTCTGACCTCAGCACACGAAGCGGCCCAGATGAGAGAATAAACAAGTGTTTATGGAATTATGGATGGGATGTAGCCAGGTAGAAATTATTAGAGCTGGCCTGGGGTGGGGGCTGGGAGGTAAAGGGAGTTTAGTGCCCCAGGAAGATAAGGCAATTCTAAAATCTATCAGGCGTCTGTGTCTTAAACTGATTGTGATAGCGGGTTAGATACAGCAACGTAATAACTATAGCCCGTACTTTAAATTAACACTGACAGGACAGTCCCACACTTTAAACTGACAGAGGACAGTCCACACTTGCCTTGAAACTTCATCTCTGAGAGCAGCTGGGCAGCCATGGCCTGCATGCTTTCGGGGCACACCGTGGATTTCTTCCAAGTCCAGCCTCGAAGCTCAGGCCAGTGGATCAGCACATGCACCAAAGAGGCCACCAGGTCCTCTGTGAACTGGGAGATACTTCGCTGTTAGAGCCAAGCCCTCCCCGACTTACTCCCAGTACATCGCAGTGAGGACAGTGACAGTTATCTTTTTAGTATCAATCGAAATGGACCAGTGTGGGCATCACCTGCCTTGTGTGGCTATTCATATGTTCATTTTTTTTTTTTTTAAGATTTGTGTTTATTCTATGTGCATTGGTGTTTTTCCTGCATGTATGTCTGTTAAGGTGCCTGGTCCCCTGGAATTGGAGCTACAAACAGTTGTGAGTTGCCATGTGGGTGCTGCGATTTGAACCTGGGTCTTATGGAAGAGCAGCCAGTATTCTTAATCTCTGAGCCATCCTATTTACGCATTCTTTTGTTTCTTTTCTTTTTTTTTTTTTTCTTTTTTTGGCACTTCATGTAGCCAGGACTGGCACCAAACTTGCTATGTAGCTGAGGATGACCTTGAACTCTTGATCACCCTGCCTCTCCCTGCCAAGTGCTGGGATTACAGATGTGGGCCACTATACTGGTTTTAAAAGCTGCTGGGGATGGGCCGGTGGGCCGGATGGATGTTAGGTCAACATCCACCAGGTGAGGATACATTCCTGGCCCCCCTTTTTGTAGAATTTTGACACAGGATCTTACCAAGGTGGCCAGGCTGGCCTTCGACCCTCTGATGCCAGACCTTTACGCCAGGCCTGGCTTTCATTTCATTGGTAACACTTAGCCCACCTAGAAGCTTGCCAAAGTCCTAGTTCAAGAGTTCTGAATCGGGCTGGACAGATGGCTCCGAAGTTAAGAGCACCGGCTGTTCTTCCGGAGGCCCTGAGCGCAGCTCCCAGCAACCATACCGTCTATAATGAGATCTGGTAACCTCTTCTGGCCTGCAGGCCTACATGCAGGTGGAAAACTATGTATGTAATAAGTAAACAAATCTTGCCATCCTGTGGGCTCAGCATCCTGAGGCTGGCCAGCACCATGATGCTGCATTCACCTAAGCCGCTGGCTGTCCCAGATCCCCCACCCCTGGACACCAAGCGTCTACCTTCAGGATGTCCCTGGCCTTCACAGTACTCTCTGTAGCTGAGAGCATTTGGATAACCATATGGCCCTTCTCCTCGAAGCTGCCTTTCAACAGATGGGACAGGAACTCTGTGAACTGCTCCCGGGAAACATTCCCCTGGCTCCCCTGGCTCCCCTGGCTCCCGTGTGCCTTCTGGGTCGTTTTGACCCTCCACATGCCGTTATATAGTCTGGTGACCATCGCCTGGGGGAGATCCTCCTTGACATGGCTCTGTCGGGGACAAACAGAAGAGAGGGTCAGGCAGGGTTCACTGGAAAACAAGCTGAGGACAAGGCCAACCACTGTCCCACAGATGCTGCCTATGGCTGCATGATCTGCCTGTGACCCCACGGTACCATCTCCCCCAACCAGAGAAGTGTACTGGCTCAGGCTGGGGTGGAGCTCAGTGCTAGAGGACTTGCTGCCGCGTGGAAGATCCAGGATTTGATCTGCGGTGTGAGATAAAATAAGCTGGGTGGTGGCATTGCACAGCACTCCAGGGAGGGGCAGGCAGATCTTTGAGAGTTCAAGGCTAGCCTAGTCTACAGACCAAGTTCCAGGACAGGCAGGACTACACAGAGAAACCCTGTCTTGCAAAACCAAAAGAAACACGTAAAACAGGAAAGAACCAAAGCACTCCAGCTCACCATGGGCATCAGAGACTGCCAGTCTAGTCACAGACCACACCTCATACTCCAGTCTCTCCAGGCCAGACATCGCCTTCCTGCCTCTGCTACTCATGCCGCTTGGGGACCGTGTCCATAGATTCTCGTAGCCGCAGCACCGGTCTGAGCTCATGAACACGTGGACCATGTCTGTAGGGAGCTGGTGTGATCTCTACACTGGGCCACTATATATTAGCTGGCTCTTATTCCTTCCATGTTTTAAACTATTTTCACTCCTTGTGTCCCTTTGCATTGATGCAGAGGGGACCCAGAGCCACACAATTGCCAAGTAATTATTCTCCCACTGAGCTGCAACACCACCCATCAGACCGACCAACTCTTAAGACCTTAATGTTCTACAAATGGCTGGAGCATCACACCTGATGTGGTGATGAAGTGGAAAGAGAGTGTGTCTCACAGTCACAGGTGTCCTGCAGAGCAGGGTCAGGACACCAGCAGCTTGTCCCTTCTGAATGCTGCATTTGCTGCCAGGCTCCTCCCTCATACATGGTTGATCTGTCTGCTGCAGCTACATGCATACGCTATGCTGGGCCTAGCTGCATCTGAGTCACCCACATACATGCATGCACACGTACACTTACGCACATACACCAAATCTGGGGCTCCGGTAACTTCTGGAGCAGCTGGTTGGCTGAACGTAGTTGTAAATGTAACTTTTATTCGCCCGATGTAATTGTCCTCTTGGAGGCTTACTGACTCCATCTGCTAACCTAGGCCTAGTCCTGGAAGCTTCTAGCCTCTCTACACTCTACTCTAGGCCTAGGATGTTTTCAGCCTCTGAGACTTAGTGCTGAATAAGCTCATCCTTTTTAGCTCTTTTTGAGCTCTGCCTGGCTGGTCCAACTCAGCTGTTCTGGTTCAGACTCCTCTCCCAGATGACTTATTCAATCTGGTTTCTTTCTCAGCCTCTACATTGCTCTGCATGGCCTCAAACTAACCCCAGCAATCTGTTCTAATCTCTTGGCTCCTACTCATTCTCTAGTTCATTCTGTCCTCACCTGCAACTCATTCCTTTTTTCTTTAACCTGTTTCTGTAAAATTCTACCGGTAAAACTGCCTCTTCTCTTCCTACTCTGCTCTTAACTAGCCTCCCTTTCCTGTGCTGTTCTTGGGAGAGTTGGGCATTTCCTATTCTGCCAAATCCTTCTGTGGTTCATCACTTTTTCTGTCACTCAATTAGATATCACTTTCAAACATGGGTTCTTCTTTCTACAAACTGACTTCGCCTTCATTGTTTGGGATTAAAGGTTTGTACAAGGGCATGTCTGTATATTCCAGCCAGAGGGATTAAAGGTGTGTGCTAAGGGCTGGGCCACACCACAACTAGTAACAGGTTCTTTCAGGAAATAACACAATCTCGGGGTTCACGGTGTGATCAAATGTCCTGCAACACGTGACTGTGGGTCCCTAAAGGCCCATCAGTTATCTTCTGCCATGCTCCGGAACAGCGGTTCTCAACCTTCCTGATACTGCAACCCCTTTGATGCAGTCCCTCCATTGCACTGACCCCAACCGTGAAATTATGTTGTTCCTTCGTAACTGTAATTTTGTTACTGTTACCAATAATAATGTAAATATCTGTTTTCTGATGGTCTTAGGCGACCCGGTGAAAGAAGTGGTTGGCTCCAGGGGGGTCGCGACCCATGGGTTGAGAATCGCTGCTCTGGAAGCTAAGCCTTTAGAATGGCTTTGCACACTGTACCCAGTCCCAGGCCTCCGGGGTAAGCTGATATTTGCTTGTGTCCGTGTCTTAAGGAGCAAGGGCACACCTGCTCAAGGATGCTCACCCTGAGGGCATAGCCACTTCTCACTTCTTACGACGAGACTTTGGCACTGGACAAGGAGTGCTGTGACCTTCCCTGATGTCAGGGTCACATTCTACAGGTAACAGAAGCTGAGGTGTCAAGCGTTTCCTCCTCTCATGTTGTGACAAGTTAGAAATGTCCTGAACGGCCCAGTGACAGTCCATTCCAAGTCCCCTCTCTCCCTCCCTTCTCCTCCTCCCTCTCCCTCTCTCCTTCCCTCCATCTTTCCCTCTGACCCTTCTTCCTGTTTTCTGAGACAAGCCTCCCTATAGCCCAGGATCAAATTTTCAGCAGCCGTTTTTTTGGTCAGCCTCCTGAGTGTGGGGCCCAGGGGCAGGAGCAACCACACCTGTCCCAGGTCCTCGCTCTGGTTCATATAATAAGACACTGTGCTTTCACACTTTCACACTGAGCCCAGCACTCAGCGGGCTAAGAGGGGAGAATCACTATCCATCCAAGGCCACCCTGGGCTATACAGTGGGTTCCAGGCTAGGCCAGTGTTGGCATATGCCAAGACTCTGTCTCAAAAAAAAAATGGGGTGGGGGTGTTGTTCGTGCATGGCCCATGGCGAGTTTTCACCCTAAAGGACAGAGCAGTGTAGTCACAGAGCCCACAATGCCAAAAAAAAAAAAAAAGGACCCTTCACCAAAAATTGGCTTTTTGGTGCTTGGCACAACTGCAGACCCTAAATCCCCTCCACCTGGTCGCTCTTGCCTTCAGTGCCTCCAGAGAGAATGTTCCTGTTGCCGAGCTGCCTTTATTAGATGACAGGGTGTCAAACAGCCTGTCCACCTCAGCCTGCTCCTCAGGCAAGAACCTTGAGCACGTCTTCGGACTCGAATGGCTCTTAGCATTCCCCATCTTGCCTGCTTGGTGGAACTCTCTGCAGGCCAGAAAAAGAGAAAAAACCCCAACATGAGAGTCACAGAAATATTGAAAGACCACGGTCAGTGAATGACCACTTACTGTAAGATGCAGCTTAGACACTCTTGATGGACATTTTCATTTGTCGGGGTAAAAATTAGCAGCTGACACAGTGAAGTACAGGGGCCCCATTCTGATCCCTCGAGTCAACTGAAGAAGCCTGGATTCCTTCTAGAAGCATACTGCTTGGCCTGGTGTGGTGGCACAGCCCATAATCCTAACCTATGGGAGACTGAAGCAGAGGAGGGTAAGGTGGCTGTGACTTGAGGCCAGCCCAGCTACATGGTGATGTTTTAGCACTTATCAATACCTCACTTCTTTTCGTGGCTGAATAACATGCCATTGTATGGACGTACCACATTTTGTTCACCAATCACTAACTGGCAAGCATCTGGGCTGCTTCTACTATGGGACTATTAGAGAGGGTTGCTGCAGTCCCTTGTACTTGAGCCCCTCTTTTCAGCTCTCTATATTCTACCCACATGCTCAAGCCTCAGACACAGGAGAGTGGAACTTTGATGTTTTAAGGAGCTGCCATCTTGTTCTCCAATTTACATTCCCACTAGACCAGTGCAAGGCCCCACTCTCTCCACATCTTTGCTGTCTTTTAGGGAGCTGGGGCCCTGCTCTTGACAGGCTTCCATGCTACTAAGCTCCCCTAGAAGACATGTCCCTCCAAGGGCTCATGGGAACACTGATCACGAAGGCAGGAGAGGGGACTCACCCAGTCCCGCCCCCTGCCAACGTAACACTCTCAGCGGCAGCTCCAGCCTACACTCAGGGCACGAAGCACGGGGCTGGCCTCCCCTTGAGAGCAGGCAGCAGCACAGCTGAAGCCCTTCCCTCCAAGGACGAGGCCTGTGCTGTCGCACCGAGCAGACCCCTGGAGACTGCAACTCTGCGCAGCAGCTCAGCCATCTGGGACTCAGGTTATGGGTCTCCCCAGCTGAGTTTTAAACAGCCACTGACTTCCAGAGAAGTCAGAGTTGTTTAGGGGAAGTCGTGGTGCCCTGTGCTCAGGAGGGGGACAGTAAAGAAGAGTGTGCTCCTGAACAGCCAGAATAGTGGACTTCACAGGATGGCTTCTACAGCTCTCTCAAGCCATCTGGCCACCAGGAACCCTGTGGGGACCACTTCAAAGTGTTCTGAGGCAGGGTTGGGCCATCTACGATGGAAAATGCCAACGCGGCACTAGGCCTGGAGTCAGAGCTGCAGACCGGGGTGCGGGGAGGGCTCAGGAAGGACTCCAAACTGTCCTGGGTGGTGGTAGTGGAAAGACTCCAAGAAAGGGGACAGTAAAGTGGCTTGGTTTTTTTTTTGTTTGTTTGTTTTTTTGTTTTTGGGTTTTTTTTTTTTTTTTTGGTTTTGGGTTTTTTGAGACAGGGTTTCTCTGTGTAGCTCTGGCTGTCCTGGAACTCACTCTGTAAGACCAGGCTGGCCTCAAATTCAGAGATCCGCCTGCCTCTGCCTCCTGAGTGCTGGGATTAAAGGCGTGAGACTCCACCACCCAACTGGCTCAGTATCTTAATTTCTACCCAAGAAGCAAGAGGGTAGAGAGCTGCCTGCTCTCATCTGTGCAGCCTGGCCTTGCCCTGCACAGGGAGGCTGAATGGTGCCATTGCTGCTGCAGACTGTCTGCACGCCTCGGGAGAGCCGAGCCCTGCCCTGCCCGTAGCGCAAGGTGGCTGTCAGCTGACACACAGAAAACTCACCAAGGGCTGAAGGCCAAGCACACCCCAATAGCCCTGGGCCTTTCCAGGACACCACCTGTGGCTACAAGTGTTTGGGGTTTTATTTTTCCTCTTACCAAAGGGCATTTGAATTTACCAAGTCACCGAAAACCTTGTCTGTTTCTCCCTGCACTCTCCTGCAGATGACAGATGTGTTGACAACACACGGGCACATGATAGTTCCCCCCTGCAGGCTGACCTTCATGCCTCAAAGCACTCCTGTTTGTCCCACTCCTAGCCTGGTGGTGATATCTGTAATCCAGGCTTTTGGGGGGCTGTGGTGGGGTAGTGAGTTCAAGGCCTGCCTGGGTCCCATAGTAAGGCCCTGTCCTTCTCAGTCAGTCAGTCAGTCAGTCAGTCCAGAAGCAAGCAGGGATCAGAAGGCCTGAGGGCTTCTGACAGAGTTGTATCTCACCTAAGTGTCAGACTTCAAGAAGCCTACTGAGGACTGGAGGACTGGAGCCATGGCTCGGCAGTTAAGAGTATTATCTCTCTCCCAGAGGTCCTGAGTTCAATTCCCAGCAACCACATGGTGGCTCACAACCATCTATAATGGGATCTGATGCCCCCTTCTGGCATGCAGGTGTACATGCAGATAGGGGACTCATATACACAAACAAACAAACATACATATCGAGGAGGAAGAAGCCTACTAAAGGCATGGTATATAGCCTCCTGTCAGGGATGGAGGCTCAAGGCTGGCTGGTGGCGGCTCCCACCAAGCAGGCTCCAAAGGCATCATGAGATGTCAGAATCACCTTCGAAGGGTGGATTCCTTCCTACTTGTCAACCCTCACTGTCCTTCTCCAGCTCTTGTTTCCAACTAACTGTTCAGCATTTGCCACTTTTCCTGGGAAGCCCCTCCTACTCACGCTGCAGAGAGCCCATGCCATCCTGACCTCCCACCCACAAGCTTGGAGGTGCCAGAGTCCACAGACTCCAGAGAGACTCCTCCAAGTGCTGTAAGCCGATTCCTTCACTCCGCTCAGAGGTCACTTCCTCTGAGGACCTCCCTGGTGGCCCTCACTCAGGGGTGAGCCCGTCCCTCCTGTCCTGCTTTGTCCCCCTTGGCAACCTGACACCTGACCCCACAGCCCTTCCCCAGGCCATGCATGTGACTCCTGGCTCCAATCTGAAGGCTACAAAAAGGGACCCAGCTTCACGACCACTGTCCTGTGCCTTAGCAAGGAGCAGAGCCATTTTTCTTTTCAGAAGTGGCATCGGGGGTGAGGGTGGGAGGTTGCTGCTCATGGTCACTGTGCAGAGGCCAGGGACATTGCTGAACGCCTCACAGGGAGACCCTGACCACCACAGTGCATCCAGCCATGGCTTGATGGGAACACAGGGTAGGGACCAAACGGGAGGGGCCCCTCGAAGGTCACCCGTAGTCACAGCCCTGGCCATTTGCCACACAGCAGGGCCTGAGCTCTGCAGTCACACTCTGGGCACGAGTAGCCTCATCAAATACTTGTTCCAGGAACAATGGACACGTGACTGCTTTCCCACCTGGGTACAATCAAGGGCCAGGTCTTTGCCTGACCAGATCTCATGTCTCCTAAACCCACCAGTGCGAGTCCTTGAACAATCCAGTCTCAGCTACAGCCCGTCCTCAATACGCCAGCACCCTTGGTAGCTAATCACGTCCTTGCCCTCCCCCAACCAGGTGATCCATTCCCAGAGGAGCGCAACCTCTCCCCAGCTGTGAAATCCCATCACCAAGTCACGTCTCCACGGCCTAAGTGGAGTTTGCCTTGCCACGCTTTAATAAGCGCAGGTGAACCCTTTAACATTAGGGCATCAGGCTGAATGAAGCCATCCAGGGCACCTGGTCGTGCTTCCTGGCCGCCAAAGACAGAAACAGCTGGGCCCACGATGATAGAAAAGGGGGTCCCTGAGTCTGTTCTGAAGAGTTAGAATGCCAGGTCTTTACAGCCCCAAGCTGGTGGCAGGCTGTGGTGTGCCTCGGGCTCTTCCACTAGGGCCTCCAAATGACCCTCTGCCTGGTTCCTGGGGCAATGTCCATCACCCCATCTGAACAGCCTCACCAAGCCCATGCTGAGTCCTGGAGCCCACTGAGGCCTCTGCGACTGACCGCCCTTCTTCCAGCCCAGCCCAGCCCCGCGCAGGGGTGCAGGCCAGGGCGTCTCCCCCTAAACTTGGTTTTGAGCTCCCCGCTGAAAGGAACCCCGCTGGGTTTGTCTTGGAAAACAAGGTAAGCCCACAGACCCCTTCAGAGCCCAGCTTCACCCTTCCCTGGCGCTCTCCGCTTCTCTGACAGTAGCCTTAACTGTGGGAAGGCTCCTTGGCGGCTTGCTCGGGCCACCCCGCAGGACTTCCCTCCTTGAACTGTCCCCAGCCTCGCCCGGGTCTCCCTCCCCCCGGCTCACCCGCTACAGCCTACAGGGACCGAGCTTCTTCCGGTGCGTCCAGGGCAGCAAGGTTCCCTGGGTCGCCCAGCCCATTCCCTACCAACAGCGCTGATGGACGGTCACAAGCACCAATTGGGGAAGGGCCATTTAGCGGTGGAGCCCGAGGCAGAGATCAACCAATGGAGTTGTAGTTCACATGGAGTGGGCGGAGCCTGAGGGCGGAGAACCTGAGTCTGCAGGGAGGAGCAACTGAGTATTCGGGACAGCCGCTCGGGTTCTGGGAGGCGGTGCCTGGGGCTTGAAGGGGTGCTGGGAAGCGGCGGAGGGGCTGGGATCCTAGCAGGGATCTAAGCGCAGGGGGGTTGATAGAAGATGGCTCCCAGCAAGGAGGCTGGGAGCAGATTAGAGGAGCTGGCAGCAGAGGAACGGGGAGCATCGCAGGGATGTGGGAGCAGAAAGCCTAAGCTGGGGCTAGCCCCCCAGAACTAGGGTGGAAAAGCTGAGCGTCTAACCTCCTGCAGTCCATCCTGCTGGCTAGTGGAGCGTCTGACACAGAGAAGCAGACGCCAACCGGCCTTGTCCCCAAAGCGGGAAAGCTTTCCTTCAGCCCTTCTGTGCCTTTTCTGAGGCTGCTCACAGACACAGCCGAGGCTGGGTGCGGCGAAGCTCCAGAATTCGAGGCTGGGTGCAGGGGAGCGCCAGAATTCTCAGCAGCGATGCCCCCTCACTGACGGGCAGCTTCTTCTTGAGAACTCCACCGTCCCAGTCGCGCAGGAGAACTACTCCGAAGCCCACAGCAACAGAAGCTTTGCTGTTTGAAATTGTAGCCGGAAAAATGACACCAGGGGCTGCAAAGGTGGCGGAGAAGTTAAGAACACTTGCTATTCTAGAAGAGGACACAGGTAAAGCTCATGCCTGCTTCTTACTCCAATTCCAGGGGATCCGACGCCCTCCCCTGGCCTCCAGAGGCATAGCACACACATAATTTTTTTTTTAATGACATCAACCCAGCTGAGTGTAGTGGCTCACACCTGTAATCTCAACACTCCAAGAGGCCTAGACGGGGGAAGGGGGGGGATAGAGGGATTGGAAGTTTTGAAAAGGAGAGCAGAGAGGAGAAAGCAAAGGAGAAAAAAAAAATGGGCAGCTAGTTCCCCCCAGTGGACTGAAGTCACATGACCATCAAAAGCCTGCAGCCTTTGGCTCAGCCAAGCTTCACTAGTGCTGTCTCTTCTCAGCATCCCACAGCCAGTCCTTGAGAACCAGGAGCCTAGTCCTGGCCTTGCTTGAGATGTCTTGGATTGACTTGAGGCCCACCCTCCTATGAGCCCCTGTGAAAACTACCTGAGTCAGTGGGAACAGCCTCAAGCTATGTTAGACTCCATGAACCATCATGAGGGAGTCAGGCTAAGCCAGCTAGGACAACCCTTGAGTCCTCCAGGGCAGCATGGGTCTTCAGTCTATAATATACGGCGTGTCAGGCCACAACCCCTGCCCTCAGCACCCTCCTTCCTCATTCAGCCCCCACCTGACGTGTATAAACTTAAGAGGTGCACGCCTTTAATCCCAGCACTCAGGAGGCAGAGGCAGGCAGATCTCCGAGTGTGAGGCCAGCCTGGTCTATAAAGTGAATCCAGGACAGCCAGGGCTACACAGAGAAACCCTGTCTCCATAAGCCAAAAACTTAAAGATCCCAATTGGCTGTTTAGACTTAAGAGTTCGTCCTCGCATGCTAATTTCTGTGTCATGGGTCAAACGTCTCTCCAGGCCTTTCATAATGAGAAGCCAGGGCCCCTCTTCTGAACCAGGACACAGCCAGGGACACACAGCTAGGACATAGGCAGTCCTGATGCCAAACTGGAGGCTCTTTCCATTGTAACCTGGCTTGGTGTCTTGGCAGTCATTTCCAGGGAAGAGAGTGCCCTGTGGGTTCAGACCTCAGGAGCTCATTGTTGTTCTAGGCCACAGTGTAATGTCAGAGGACAATGTCAGCGTTGCTTTTCTCCTTGCACTGTACGGATGCTAGAGACTGAAGTCATGTCATAAGGCTTGGTGGCGAGCTACTTTACCCACTAGACCATCTTGCTTGGACCTGTGGTTTTGTGTGTGTGTGTGTGTGTGTGTGTGTTTTAGGATGCAGTCTCTCTAAACTTTCAATCCTGCCTCCGCCTTCCAAGCGCTAGGATGACAGGCACATGTCCAGCCTGGGAGCCTGAGCAGGTAGCCTTGTTTCTAGAGGCCCTGTGAGGTGTGCCCATGCTCGGCAGGAGGAGCCTCTGGAAAAGGCATCTAAGACCGGCCCGGTCCAGGGATTCTACTGCACTCTGGAGCAGCGACCAGGCATAGGCAGCCCTCCACCCGGCAGAGTCCCCGGAACTCTGCAGGCGCGAACTCTGCACGCGTGATGCCTGAAGGACACAGACTCAAGGCAGGCAGATATGAAAACAGTGGGAAGGGCTCTGTTTCTCTGCACCTTCATTCCTGGCCGCTGCCATCACACGTCCCACTGCTCTGCCCACACTGTACCACACTGCAGCCTCCTGTCTGACCTGCTGCCATCTCGCTCCAGGTCTTCTCAGTGGCCAGGGCCACCCTAAAAGGAAGATGTCATCACACCACCCCTCCCTGAGAGACTCTTAAGGCTTCCCGCTGCAGTTCACAAGACCCGTTTTTCAAATTCACCTGCCACCAAATTTCTCATGTCAGCCGGGGTTGCCCCCCTCCTCGCTCCGTGACAGCCAGCCTCAGCTACAGCCAGTGCCTGGAACCCTTCAGCCTTTCCTTGCCCGGCGTCCTCCTGAGCGGAGCAGCACCACATGGCCTCATTCAGTCCTCCTCATCCTGTGATCCCTGAGCTATCTTCTGCATCCCCACTGTCCCTGCCACTGTTTGGCCTGGCTGTACTTCTTCTCTCCTTCCAACCTCCTATAAAGACACCAGTCAGCCCTGCCGCTGTCCCCTCAGCAGGCACCAGCCTAGCTTCTGGGACATGACCAGTTGCTCACAGCAGCAGGCTCAGGTGGGGACCTGGGACACATGAGCCTGTTGCCTAGAGTCGGCACAGACGGGGCCTTTGCAAGGCAGCAGGAGACGAGCAGTGAGAGTCCACGGGGCTGCAACAGGTGACTGGGAAACCACCAGCCCTGTGCACTCTGGGCTAGATGGCAGAAGCAGGAAGGTGCGAAAGGGGGCCATGAGGTCAAAGGCAGAGGGAGACATGGGCCAGGCTCAGATGGAGCGAAGCTGCATGCTCCCAACATGGCCATGTCCTAATCTGTAACCCCTTTGCACATGCCCTCTCCCACAACCAAAGGGACTCTGCGGGTGGGACCGAGCCCAGGACCTTGAGATGAAGAAAGCATCTCAGACGGCTCAGGTGGACCCAGCTCATAATAACGTGAGCATAGTGCTGATGCTAGAAATCACTGGGGGTGCAGGAGAATGAGGGGGGAGACCCTGCCCCCGCCCCTGTAGACCTTCATGAATTGAAATTACTCTCGATGTAGCGACTCTGGGACCTGACTGCTTATGCGTTGACAGAAGAAAATACATAAGAAAACCCTTTCGGGGGGGGGGGGGGAGCTCGGGGTTCTCTGAGGGGAAGTCAATTCCCCATCATCCCCAAGCAGGACAGGGCAGGGGGAACAGGAAATGAAGCCCCAAAGGCTGCCTAGGGTCAAGTTCAAAGGGATGCATCAGCCCTGTGTCCAACTCAAAGTGGGGGTACAGGCAGAGGCTGTTGTGCTCAGGAGTCCTAACCTTGTTCTGCAGGTTTTCCCCCCTGGATAAGGGCCACCAGAGAGCAGGAGTCAGGCCCGGCCACTCTGCCCCACAGACCCATGGGAAAGTTCTTCCTAAGTACAGCAAGGCCATGTAGCCTTGTGTCCACTAGGTGGCACTCTTGATTGCTGCAAACATTGTCAAAAAAATAAATATAAAATAATATGGCTTTGCAGGGCCTGATGGCACACTGTACCTGTAATCCCAGCGCTCAGGAGTTGACACAAGAAGATTGAGATTCGATGCCAGCTTCAAGGACATGAACCCTGTTCTCAAATCAACGTAATGTTTTCGTTGTTGCTTTGTTTTTTAAGAATGCAAAATGTGGGAGCTAGAGCAATGACTCAGGGGTTAATGGCACTAACCGTTCTTCCATGAGACCCAGCATCCGTATGGCAGTGTAGTGACAATTTCGGAGCTCTTATTTCTTTGGAAAACATAAAAATATTGTGGGAATATTGTTTTTTTTTTTTGTTTGTTTGTTTGTTTTAATCCCCAGGTGTGCAATCTGGGGCTGCTTCAGCTTGTCCACAGCAGCTGACTACGATTTGCCTCGTGCAAAAACCATAGGGCAAGGTTTTGCCAGCTGCAGATAGTTCCCACCATACTGTGATGTTGGAAATCCCGAGGGCTTTTTAGAGGATATATAAATGCTAGGGCCCCCTAGGTGGAGTGGGGCTTGGTTAGTGTTGGTGATGTTGGTAGTGGTGATGGTAGTTGCTGTTGGTCATGGTTTGTTGAGGAGTTGCGTGCGAAGAAGTAGTAGTAGTTAGATATCCTGACAACAAAAATCAAACTTGCCCCAAGGAACTTGACGCCCCTAATCAGCAGGAAGTAGTGTAACGATAACATGGCCCCCCTTTTGACTCCTGACTTTATTCAGGGAGCTTTTTCCTTTCCCTTCTATCCTTTTTTCCTCTCCTGTCAAGCGTGAGGGGGTTGAAAGTGTGGAAGTAAAAAGAATCCACAAAGTAGCCAAAGACAGTTACATGGCAGCTCACAACCGTCTGTCTGTGGGGACCCAACACCTTCTCCTTGCCTCCAAAGGCACTGCATGAACATGTTACACAAACATACGTGAAGTCAAAATTAATAAAATTAAATTTAAAAACAGAATGCAGAAGGGGTTAGAGAGATGCCCTGGAGGTTAAGAGCACTGGCTGTCCTTCCAGAGGTCAGAGATTTGGATCCCAGCTCTCAACCCTGTAACTCCAGCTCTAAGAGATCCAATGCTCTCTTCTGGCCCCCAGGACACACAGGTACACAGTGCATATACATACATGCAGGCAAAACACTTGTAAAGTAAAAATAAATCTTTTGTTGTTGTTTTGTTCTTGAGACAAATAGTGGTTTGAAAGACAGTGGTCCTGTGTAGGTTTATACATTTGAATACTTAGTTACCAAAGAGGAATACTTAATCCTCTTTGAAAGGATTAGAAGGATTAAGAGTTGTGGCCTTGTTGGAGGAAGTTCGTCACTGGGGGTGGGCTTTGAGGTGTAAAAGCCCATTCCAGGCCTAGTCTCTCTCTCCCTCTCTCTCTATGCCTGCAGAGAAGGACATAGATCTCAATGACTTCTCCAGCACCAGGCCTGCTATGCTGCTGCCATAATCCTTGCCATGATGATAATGGACTAAACATCTGAAACTGCAAGCAAGACTTCAAATAAATGCTTTCTCTTGTAAGAGTTGCCTTGGTCATGAGGTCATTCCCAGTTAGGGTTACTGTTGCTATGACAGCCAAAAGCAAGTTGGGGAAGAAAGGGTTCATTTGGCTTATACACCCACATCATCATCATCCATCACTGAAGAAAGTCAGGACAGGAATTCAAACTGGGCAAAAACCTGGAGGCAGGAGCTAATGCGGAAGCCATGGAGGGGCACTGCTTACCGGCTTGCTCATGGCTTGCTCAGCTTACTTTCTTATAGAACCATAGAACCCAGGACTACAGTGCATGGGTGGTCCCCCCAACAATGGTCTGGGCCTTCTCTCATCAATCACTAATGCCTGGTGGCGTGGTGGTGCACCCCTTTCACCCCAGCACTCGGGAGGCAGTGGCAGGCTGATCTCTGTGAGTTCAAGGCCAGCCTAGTCTGCAAAGTGAGTCTAGGACAGCCAAGGCTGTACAGAGATACTGTGCTGGCTAGTTTTATGGCAACCTGACACATGCTAGAGTCATCAGAGAAGAGGGAACCTAAGGCAGTCCCTTTATTATGTACCTCTGACTGTCCTGGAACTCACTATGTAGACCAGACTGGCCTTGAACTCACAGAGATTCATTTGCCTCTGCTTCCTATGTGCTGGGATTAAAGGCATGCACCATCAAAATAGATCTTTTTAAAAGTTAAAAATAACTTGCAAGGAAGTGTTGGATGCATCAGAGGGCTGCTGTGTAACACACCTCTTCTCTGTCATCACCACTGGATATTTCTCTAATACATTTGTCACCATTCAAGAGTTGGCATTGTTACATTGATACTAACCAAAAACTGCATTCTAGGCCAGGCGGTGGTGGCACACATCTTTAATCAAAGCACTCAGGAGGCACAGGCAGGTCCCCGCCTGGTCTATAGAGCAAGGACAGCTAGGGCCACACAGAGAAAGCCTATTTGGAAAAACAGAAACAAACCAAAACTACATTCTAGCCAGACTGGATGACTCAGGCTTGCCATTTCAGTTACTCCAAAGCTGAGGCAGGAGGATTTCAAGATGGAGCTCTGCCATGGCTACAGAAGAAGACCTATCCCAAGAGGTTGGGTTGGGGAAACAAGGAGAGAGGTAGGGAGAAGGCATAAAGGCCAGGGTTCCATCCCCAGCACCGTGTAAACTGACATGGTTCATACGTATAATCCCAGCACTTGGAGGTAGAGGCAGAAGGATTAGAAATTCAAGCTCATCTTCAGTTACATAGTCAGTGTGAAGCCAGCCTGGGCTACAGGAGACCCTGATTCAAAGTGGCCATTGAGTGACACTTGGCTGATGATGTCCCAGCCACAGCAACTCAGTTCTACCACACCAACAGGAAGCCTGCCTCTCTCTCCTTCACACCTGGTTCAACACCTGCCTGTGACTGCCTGCCACCCTAGCAGAGCCCCATGCCAGGTGGCCCCCCCACATTTGTCCACACCCACTCCCCCAGCACCTTCCTTTCTGCCTAGAACAAACTTCCTCATCTCTCCCCTTACCCCAACTCAGAACCTTCATATATCCCCTCAAAACGTCAGTCATGGCCCTCACCCAGCCCTGAGATGAAGAAACAGGAGGGCGGACATCGGTGCTGATGACCCAAGGCATGGCCGGACCCCACAGGGAGCAGGGGAAAGGGCCTGGAGGACACTCTGCCCTCTACCCCATTGCTGTCCCCACAGGGTCTCCAGCCCTCCTGTTGTGTCTCTGTGCAGTCACCATGTGACACAGCAAAAGCTGGCTTTGTGGTGTCACCCTGAGTTCAGCCCACACATCTCAGAGGGTGAGACTCTGTGCTTCTGTTTTGCGAAGGTCTCTCATCTTCCTCTGAGGCCATAAAAGGCGACAGAGTCATCCAGTTGCTGAAGTCCCCTGTGAACAGCTCAGCTGGAAGAGTTTGTGGCTTTGCTATGGGAGGCCCACGGCTGCCTATTCACCTGGGTCACTGAAAGGAGGGATTGCCTTATAAGGCCAAAAGCAGCCACCCACCAGCCAACCAAGCACAGCCCAGGGAAGGTGGAGGAAGTACTCAGTTTCACAAGAGGCTTGCAAGACCTCTCTCTGTGATGGCGGCCATCTGACCCTCTACAGAAGGGCCAGAGTCCCCAGGGAGACCAAGAGGCAGGTGTTCAAGTTAAATGAGGTCGTCCAACTTCCAGTACAGTGGTTAAAATGAACAACACCCAGGCTAGAGCTCATTTATCCCGAAAACAACTCTGTAGCCTTGTCATTCCCAGTCAGGAGAGAGGGCCACATCCGGAAGATGAGTAGCTGGTCCTCCAAGCAAGCAGCCAGTGGGGGAGGCGGCATAGCAACTCTGCCTCCGGGGTAGCCATGCCCTGAGGGCAGCAGAGGCTTGCAGCTGTGCTGGGCACCACAGCGGCCACAGGCTGAACCTGGTCACAGGAAGCATGAGGAGCTGAGCTGTGTGAAGGTGAAACACACAGGTGAACTATGGGGTCAGTGAGCAGGCTAGGTGTGTAAAGGGGCTTTCGACCAAGCCTGATGACCTCAGATCAATACCCTGAACCCACAAAGTAGCAGAGTACTGACTCCTACAAATTGTCCTCTGACCCTTCACATACACACACACAGAGAGAGAAAGAGAGAAAAAAAGAGAGAGAAAAAAAAGAGAGGAGAGGTGCAATTTTAAAAATTTCAAAAGAAGTTAAGGATTTTAAGGCCATGTTGTAAGTACAACTTCCTGCAAAGTTTCAAAGATAATTTTGCGTGGTCTTACATGCTCTTCATGCTGTTTCCCCCAGGGGGCTTTCCACCAGGCACACACTAAACCAGAACAGACAATGGCTACTACACACAGGTCTTGTGCAGTCATTGTACCGGGAGTACAGATGGGGGAGGGGGGGCCTTGGCTGAAACACAGACAAAAACAAAGAAACAAAACCTAGCCTCTTGCCCCAGAGACCTGCTCACACCGTTGCCCAGTGCCTTCAATCTGTGGACTCCGAGCTGGTAGACCCTTACCGTGCAACATGAGGACTTGGTACTGATCCCCAGACCTATGTTAAAAGAGAGAGAGAGAGAGAGCCAGGCCTGCTAGTGTGTGCTCAGAATTCAAGCAAGCACACATCTCAACAAAACAAGGTATACAGTGCCTGAGGAATGACACCATGGATGCTCTTTGGCCTCCACATACATATATGTGTACACACGCGCACCCACACTGGCACACGCATACGGAAGTTAAGACCCCAGATGCCACTGGCTCTCCTAGGGGAGGCCTGGGGGAAACCAGGTCTGTAAAGTCGTTGCATGACCGGCCATTCATCTGCACAGCTCCTGAGTACCCACCACGTGCCAGAAAGTAGAAAACTCGCCAGTGAGGGAGGCGGTCTGAGAGCAGGCACCCAGAACAGTTTGGTAAAAGTGAGCCGGGGGATCAATTGCACACAGAGAGGCAGGAGTCTTGCTCAGAAAGCTAAAGTGTCCCCACTGCCCCACAGACAGCTACGGGGCAAGGACCGACCGACAGGCCAAATGAAGGAGGCGGCTGCGGCAGACACATAAAGACACCATCTGTCAGCCCCGGAGAGAAGCAGAGGGAGGAACCAGCCCTGCCCACACATCGATCAGAATTCAGAACGGGAGGGGAGGGAGAGGAGACCAGACCGTGGTGTTTCAGCTCCCCACCCCCACCTCCCATCTGAGGTTCCTCCCTACAGCTGCCCTATGAGATGAACACCCAGATCCATCCTCAAAGCTCAGCTATGCTGTTCTGGCACTCCCCCTGCTGTTATGACTCCCCCGGCTGAGCCCACCACGAGAGGCTGGTGTGATGGGCCACGGTGTGCTCAGGCAGCCTGGGTACTTGAGACAATTAAGATACTCTAGGCTGCAACCAGGGAGCCCCATGGACCCACTTTCTCTGCTAATGTCGGGGGAATCAGAAGGTGAGTCCCCCAGCGGGGCCTCTTGCCGGGTACAAAGGCAGAGTGTTCACAGGGGAGGGTGCCCACCAGCAGCCCTTTCAGTACAGACCCCAGCACAGCTTTCCTGATGCCTAAGAGAAAGGCCTCCGAGTCTCACCTCATCTCCGAGGAAGGCTCCGAGTGGCAGCAGACCATTCCTGCAGCCCCTCCAGATTGTCCTCAGTGCTGAGGTGTGAGGAAAAACCCACATCTACACATGCACCTCACACCTACACATACATCCCAGATCTCTCTCTCTTTCACACACACACACACACACACACACACACACACACACACAATACCAGGCATTTTCTTCCTAACATGCGAGCACAATAAATTGTCAAAGAGTCTGAGAGGAGATTAGAAGAAAAAGAAAATCTCAGCCAGGCCTCAGAGCTGCTCCAGAGTGTGAGACAGGAGGATTGAAAGTTCAAGGCCAAACTGGACAGTGAGACTATCTCCAAATAAACAGCAGAGAGGGAGGGAGAGAAAGGGAGAGAGAGGGAGAGAGAGAGAGAGAACAGGCTGGGGCTATAGCTCAGTGTCGGAAGGCTTGAAGGTTAGCTAAACAGAAGACCCAGTGCATGAAAGAAAAAGAAATGGTGGGAGGAGGAAGGGAAAAGAAAGGAAGAAAAAAGAAAAGATAATCTCATCTCTACCCAGGGCTCCCTGCAGCTGTCACTAGGGTCCCCGTGGGGGTTTCCCACACTTCTGTGAACACGCATTCACATCCACCTGCTCCCCCTTACACCCGGGACAGCACCACGGAGCCACACCGGCTTCTTCCCTCCACATAAGACTGCCTTTTGGGACCCACACAAATCTACACTTTCCCAGCATGTGAAAGGAGCACGGTTGGGGATCAGCCAATCCTGCTGGGCACACCAGTCACCCTGCCCATCACAAGCTGGTACCTAACATCCTTGCACAGGCGTCTTTATGCAGAGTTTAATATTTATACAGAGGGTCAAGTATCTCTGTTTATACAGAGGGTCTGGACCTGCAGGCTTCATGGGCCCATGCAGCAACACAGGGCTAGTACGTACCTGCTTTCT